TTACTGGACTTCTGTACAAGTCATGGATTGTCCATAACGAACACCATGTTCAAGCATAAAGGTGTCCACATGTGCTCTTGGCACAGCTCGATTATGGCCGCAGCTGGATTATCACCTTTGTTGTCGTTTCATCTTATCTGGGGCTGCATGTCTTGGACACTGGTGTGAAGAGAGGGGCAGAGTTGTTAACTGACCACTACCTCGTAGTAAGTTGGCTTTGATGGTGGGGGAGGATGCCGGTCAGACTTGGCAGGCCCAAACGTATTGTGTGGGTCTGGGGTCTGACAGAATTTCGAACATGTGCTGATAGAAGCAGGGGACATCGAGTCAGAGTGGGCCATGTTCTGTGCTTCCGTTGTTGAGGCAGCTGACCAGAGCTACAGCCACAGGGTTGTTGGTGCCTGTCGTGGTGGCAACCCCCAAACTCGTTGGTGGACACTGGCAGTTAGAGATGCTGTCAAGTTGAAGAAAAAGTCCTATCAGATCTTTTTGGCAAGGACTGCACGAGCAGTCCAAGCGGAATGTGGCTCGGGTGGTCGCGGAGGCAAAAACCAGGGCATGGGAGGAGTTTGGTGAGACCATGGAGTAAGATTTCTGCATGGGTTCGAGGAGATTCTAGTCCACCATCAGGCGTCTCAGGAGGGGGAAGCAGAGCGCTACAAACAATGTTTATAGTGGGGACGGTGTGCTGCTAACCTCTACTCGGGACGTTGTGGATTGGTGGGCAGAGTTCTTCGAAGGCCTCCTCAATCCCACCGGCACATCTTCCAGTGAGGAAGCAAACTTTGGGTTGGACTCTCTGGGGCTGAGGTCACTGAGGTTGTCAACAATCAATCAATCAAATTTTATTTCTAAAGCGCTTTTCAAACAAAGTGTTATTCAAAGTGCTTTACAAAATGACTCCAGATTCCCATAACAGGTTAAAAACATTAACAAACATATGCAATCACACACACACAGACTCACACACACACACACGAGTAAAAATTATATTAGGCTGAGTCCAGATGAGCCAAGTATGGTAACGCAAGGAAACGTCATCAGAGGAGCCGTCTGTCCCGGCAGCATCAGGTCTTCCACACTAAGTCAGGGCGCTCAGTGGAGGGGGAGCATAGACCCCCACCTATAGAGCGCCCAGGAAGCTACAGTCGACCACCGCTCCCGGGGCAGAGGGCCCCCACAGAGGAAACACTGGATTAAAATGAGTAAAAATGTAATAAAAGAGCTAATATAAATGACAACAATTAGAAAATAAGTAATAAATAAAATCATAGACAGTAAAATAATAATTTAAATAATAAAACTGTGCTAAAATATAATCATATAGAACATGCAAAGCAAGTAATAAAATATAATCATGTAAAACGAGAAATAAAACTGTAGAAAATATTTAGATAAAAGCTAACCTAAAAAGATGGGTCTTGAGTCTTGACTTAAAAACATGAACGTTCTCTGTGGCCCTGAGTTCCTCTGGCAGCTCGTTCCAGAGGCGAGGGCCATAACACTGGAAGGACGCCTCGCCGTGACTTTGTGTCCTGACTTTAGGGATGACCAGGAGACGCCTGCCAGAGGAGCGCAGAGTCCGCGAGGGTTCATATTGTAAAAGCAGTTCTGATAGATAAGAAGGCCCAAGACCATTAAGACACTTAAAAACCATTAGAAGAACCTTAAAATTGATCCTGAAACAAACGGGGAGCCAATGCAATGATTCTAAAACTGGTGTCATGTGCTCCCGCCTCCTGGTCTTCATCAGGACACGTGCTGCCGAATTTTGTAAAATTTGTAAGCCTGAGATGCTCTTTTTGGGAAGACCAGAAAGCAGGGCATTGCAGTAGTCTATCCTACTGGTGATAAAAGCATGCATCAACGTCTCCGTATTGGCCCGAGAGAGAATGGGGCGGACTCTGGCGATGCTCTTTAGATGATAAAAACCTATTTTTGTGATATTTTTAATGTGTGGGATAAAAGTCAGCTCAGAGTCAAAAATAACACCCAGGTTTTTCACTTGTTCAGATGGATTAAAAGACAGAGATTGTAATTTCGGTAAAAGCTTCTCTCTCTGGGCCTCAGGACCAATGACTAAAACTTCAGTTTTGTCCTGGTTGAGCTGGAGAAAGTTCTCTGCCATCCAGGATTCGATGTCTAAAATACAGTTAAAAAGTGCATCCATTGACCGAGAGTCATCCGGAGACACGGAGATGTACAACTGTGTATCATCAGCATAACTGTGAAAGTTGACCCCGTGTCTCCTGATGACTCCGCCAAGAGGGAGCATATAAAGATTAAAAAGCACTGGGCCTAAAATTGAACCCTGGGGCACACCACATGTAATCCCATGGACCCTAGAGGAACAGGTATCCAAACTCACCATGAAAGTCCTGTCTGTGAGGTAGGATGTGAACCATCTATGTACAGCACCAGAGAGGCCAATCTGTTGTAAACGAGTTAAAAGAATAGTGTGGTCTACCGTATCGAAGGCAGCACTTAGATCCAGTAGAACCAACACTGTCAACTTCTGTTTATCATAATTTACTCTAAAATCATTTAAAATCTTCAGAAGGGCTGTCTCGGTGCTGTGGTTCACCCTAAAACCAGACTGAAATTTCTCTAGGACATTATTAGTGTTTATAAAATCATTTAGTTGATTTAAAACCAACTTTTCTAAAATCTTGCTTAAAAATGGTAAGTTGGATACCGGTCGATAATTGTTTAATTCATTAAAATCTAAATTGCTCTTCTTCAACAGGGGCCTCACCACCGCCCTTTTAAAGGCAGCAGGAAAGACCCCCGTCTGAAGGGAGCAATTTATCAGGGTTAAAATCTCATCACTAAAAGATCCATGAAATTGTTTAAAGAACGAAGTTGGAATTGGGTCCAGAACACATGTGGTGGGTCTCACTGAGGAGAAAACTTTATCAAGAGTCTCAGCTTCTACCAGGACAAAACTGTTCAGTTTTTCCTCTGGTATAGACACACATCCAGATTTATCTAAAACCTTATTACTAATGGAGGGTAAAATATTCCGTCTGATGGTGTCTACCTTCCCTCTGAAGTGGGCTGCAAACTCCTCACAGAGTGCATTTGAGGGTGTTTTCTGAAGTGAATTGGATGTATGGTTTAAAATGTTGTTTATGGTAGAAAAAAGTGTTCTGGGATTGTGTTTATTGTCTAGAATGAGTTTGGAAAGGTATGCGTGTCTTGAATTTCTCACTGCGTTATTATATGATTTAAGTAGCTCTGTATATATTTGATGATTTATAGTTGTTTTGTTCTTTCTCCATCTCCGCTCTGCAACCCTGCAATTTCTCTTTCGTTTCTTTAGATTTTCATTTCTCCACGGTGAAGCACGTTTTGAATAAAAACTTTTGATTTTAAGTGGAGCGAGCAGGTCGAGAGCGGATTTCAGTCTACTGTTAAAATCATTGACAGTAAAATCACAAGAGGCAGTTACCGGAGTGGGAGGGATCTTTCTAAAAACTTCAAGAAAACCTGCAGCCACTTCAGGGGTGAGATGACGCTTCCTTACAGTTCTCACAGAGGGTTCCAGCTGGATAAAACTGGTGATGCTAAAAAATACAACAAACTCCTTGGTGGCAAGGCCCGGGGGTGGATGAGATCTGTCCGAAGTTTCTTGAGACTCTGGATGTTGCAGGGCTTTGTTGGCTCTCGTGGCTCTGCAATATTGCAGTATCTGGATTGGCAGGCTGGGTTGGTGGTCCCCCTATTTAAAAGGGGGGACCACAGGGTGTGTTCCAGCTACAGGGGTATCACACTCCTGAGCTTCCCTGGTAGTAAAGTCTATTCAGGGGTTCAGGAGAGGAGGGTCAGGCAGATTGTCAGACCTCAGATTCAGGAGAAGCAATGTGGTTTTTGTCCTGGCCATGGAACACTGGACCAGCTTTATACACTTAGGGGAACCTGTGTTTTGTGGATTTGGAGAAGGTGTTTGACCGCGTCCATCGGGAGGCCTTATGGGGGGTACTCTGGGAGTATGGGGTACCAGGCCCTGTGATATGGGCTATTAGGTCCCTGTATGAACGGTGTCAGAGCTTGGTCTGCATTGCCAGTAGTAAGTAGGGATGGGTACCGGTACTCGGTACTTTAATAGCACCGGTTCTGACATAAACGGTAGTAACCAGACCGAAAAGCAACGCAGATTTCGGTGCTTCATTTCGGAGATGTCAATCATGTTGGACTCGAGAAGCCACTCATTTTACTTTTCCGGTGATAGTAGGCGGGCCCAGCCAAGTGCGTATTTAATTAGAGCGGACCTACATTATTTATCAAAATGCCGAAGGCGAAGCGGTCGAAAAAGCGTGGCTGTACTTCACAGCAAAAGATGCAGACTCAGCAACCTGCAACAGGTGCTTCAAGGTGATACTCTGTAAAGGAGGTAACACCTCTAATTTAATGAAACACCTGGTGACGCATAGCATTTTTTTAAAAGCCGAGACATGCACCGTGTTTGATAGCTTGCAACAGCGAAACCTCCCACCGAACGCATCTACTGTTGGTATTGGAGATAGCTTTAGCAACGTTCCCCCAGAAGAACCTGGAGAGGAGGAGAATCATCCTGGCCCCAGCCGAGCCCCTCCCGCTGTAGCAGAAAAGTTGACAGAGGATGGCGGTAGCAGCAGCAGCCGCTCTTTGGGTAAGTAGCTTAAAGTAGTTTATGTGTATTATACGTTGAGCACACATTATTAAATGAATGCATGTAGGGTGAGCTAGCAAACACGGTCGTAGCTACATGCTGCATTCTTTTTGGCAGAGACTCCCTTCACGCTGGCCAAGAGGTCTAAATTGACCAAAGAAAAAGTAGAGGAAATACACAGGGCAGTGACGACGTTTGTAGTCAAAGATCTCCAACCATTCTCAACGGTGGAGTCACCATCATTTAGGTAAAAATGTTGCATTGCTCTGATATAAAAATAGTTTTGTTCATAGCTGTTTAGCTTTGCAAGTGCTCTGTTAATAATTGGTACAAATAAAGGGTGGGTTACATGTTTTTATTTAGTCTTTTTTATCTGTTTGGAAAAATAACTACATTTCAATTTAAATTCAAATTTATTTGTTTCTATTCAGGGAGATGTGCACTGCCCTTAATCCGAGGTATCAGCCCCCATCCAGAGACGACCTGTCCAACACATTTATACCTGCATGGTATTCTGTTGAAAAAAAGCAACCTCATCCAGAAGTTGGCTCAGGTTAACAAGGTAGCAATCACCTGTGATGGATGGACTAGTGTTGCTCAGGACCATTTCATCACAGTCACGGTTCATTATATCTACAGAGGCAGGATGATGCAGAATGTGCTAAGCACTGAAGCAGTTTATGAGTCACAAACAGGTCTGGTAGTGGCTAAAGAAATATCAAGCGTTGTGGAGCAGTTTAACTTAGGACAGAAAGTAATTGCTGCCACTGTAGACAACGCCAGCAACATGGATGTTGCTTTGAAAAACTTGAACTTTTTGAAAGTGGGATGCTTTGCCCATACTCTAAACCTAGCAGCACAAAAGGTGTATGACATTCCTGCAGTTTCCAGCTGGTGTGCCAAAATCCGCTCAGTTGTGGTGTGGCTCAAGCGTTCATCCTTGAGCAAAACTGTGCTCAGAGAAAAGCAGCGACTCCTGAGTAAGTAGCATATGCAGTTACACATGTAAATGTATTGTTAATCATGTTACCTTTTTTACAGTAATTCAAAATACATTTGTGTCTGTCTGTGCTTTAGATTTGACAGAGCATAATGTCATTCTTGACGTTAAAACGCGCTGGAACTCTCTCTTCCTGATGGTGGAGAGATTTATTGAGCAGTTTGATGCAATCCAGGCAGCTGTTCTGGATCAACGTCTGAGGAAGCCAATGGAGAAGGACAAGTGAGTGAAGGACACCAGCATCACTTGTAAGTGCTAAATTATTTCATTTCGTCATTTACCTTAAACATTGTTAATAATTTTCCACAGGCTACAAGGCTTCACGTGCACTGATCTAACGAAAGCAGAGATGTTTATTAAGTGCATGCAAGTCCTGTACACATCAACCATGTGTGTGTCAAGTGAGAAGTCGCCCACATGCAGTCAAATCATCCCCATCCTGATGAAGCTGGAGGCACATTTCAGGCAATCCGATGAAGACACCGTTTTCACCTCATCAATGAAAGAGAAAGTCTGGGGTAGTCTGCAGAACAGATATCAGGTATCTGCAGAACATATGAATACTAACAAATATAGGGGTAGCATTGCATTTAGGTATCAGCTTTTATATTCTATACTTTCTTTAAAGGATGAAAACCTTCAGAAATTTCTGAAGGAGGCCACTCTGATGGACCCACGTTTTAATGGCAAGCTAGATGAAGGTGAGGCAGCTGACATCTGGGACAGGTTGGAGATGGCAGCAGTTGCAAATGCCACAGCAGCAGTTGAACAGGTATTTTCTGCACAACATTGTCCTTCTGCATGATGTAGTTTCCATGTTGAAGGAATGTTTTTTATTATTTGTGTATCCATAGCCTCCCATAGAGGACCCTCAAGCAGACAGGGTGATGGATGACGCAGAGATGAAGCCAGAAAAATATGTAATTTCTGAGTTTTTCTAACCCAACCATGTAGTCCTACATTCTAAAAGGGATCTTTGTTGTTTTGACAATCTCACACTACTTATTTTTGTTTTCCAGCCAAGAACGGTCCAAAAGTCAGCCTTAAAAAAGCTGTTTGAGGATGAGGACAGACAACTTAAAGAGGATGCAGCCTCTCATACAGCGGGTAGAGTCCCTTCCATCACAGAGCAGGTACAAAAGGAACTTGACATATACAAAAGACTGCCAAGAATTCCCTCTGGACAAGACCCTGTGGCCTGGTGGTCGAGTCACCCCGGGTTTCCACGGGAGCCGTCAGCAGCACGTTACTGCAGCAGCACGTCTTGCTCGCGTAAGCTGCTGCTTGGCCCTTCCCACGAGACGCGAAGCAGCAGGGCAGCAGCTGTCACCGACCGAGCACGAAGTCACACGAGTGACTTCGTCAGTAAACACAACAACAAGCAGGAGAAAACTACAACATGGTTTGTGTTTTATGTTCTGTCCGTTTTATAATCACCAATACGGACCTGAAAAACAAAGGAGACCGCTAGCTAGGTGATAACTTCTCACGGGGCTGCACAGTTAGTAACGTTTTTTAAAAGTAAAGCAACCGGAAGGCAGTACGTTCTTTATTCTGAAAATCTCGGTAGATTCTCTCCATTTCCGCGTCCGATTTCCTGTCTTTCCTTCCCCAAAAATGTCGAACTTGACCCGTTTCAGAGGCGTCGCGCGTAGAAAATAGAACCGGCGCGTAAAGGCCGCGACATGCTGCTCCTGAGACGCGGCCGACTCGCGCTGCTGACGGCTCCAGTGGAAAAGGTTCTGCTGACCACAGCGGTTCCTATCAGCAGCTATGACGTGCTGCTGCAGTAACGTGCTGCTGACGGCTCCTGTGGAAAGCCGGGGTAAGAGGGACACACTGCCCAACTTATCTGCTCTATCCAATACCTACTTGTGTGTCCCAGCCTCATCAACACCTTCTGAACATGTTTTCTCTTGCGCTGGGCATGCCATCAGCCAAGAGCGATGCCGAATATTGCCAGAAAAAGCTAACATGGTGATTTTTTGCAAAAAAAATATCAAAAAATAAAATAAGAGGTTTTTGGAAAACTTGTGTATTTTTACATTCTTTAAGCACCGGTTCCGGCACCGTTTGAGCACCGGTACCATTTCAAAAGTACCGGTTTGGCACCAGTATCGGATAAAACCTAATCGATACCCATCCCTAGTAGTAAGTCAAGCTCCTTTCCAGTGAGAGTTGGTCTCCGCCAAGGCTGCCCTTTGTCACAGATTCTGTTCATGATGTTTATGGTCAGGATTTCTAGGCGCAGCCTACAGGTGTTGAGGGGATCCATTTTGGTGGCCTGAGGATCAAGTCTCTGCTTTTTGCAGATGATGTGGTCCTGTTGGCTTCATCAGAATGTGGTTCACAGTCGAGTGTGAAGCAGCTGAAATGAGAATCAGCTCCTCTAAATCCGAGACCATGGTCTTGAATCGGAAAAGGGTAGAATGCCTTCTCCAGGTCAGGGACAAGGTCCTGCTTCAAGTGGAAGAGTTATCTCAGAGTCTTGTTAAGAAGTGAGTTAAAGATGGAGCGTGAAATCGACAGGCAGGTTGGTGCTGCATCTGAAGTGATGCGGACGTTGTACAAGTCTGTCATGGTGAAGAGAGAGCTGAGCTGAAAGGCAAAGCTCTCGATTTACCAGTTGATTTATGTAGGATTTAGAACGGTCACTGCCCAAGCGGCTGAAATTAGTTTTCTCTGCAGCATGTCAGGGCTCTCCCTTAGAGATAGGGTGAGAAGCTCAGTGGTCCGGGAGGGGTTCAGAGTGGAACCATTGCTCCTCCACATTGAGAGAAGTCAGTTAAGGTGGCTCTTGTTCGCTCTTCCTTCTTCCATCTCAGGAACATTGCTAAGCTGAGTCCCATTCTGTCTCGCTCTGAACTTGAGACAGTTCTCCACACCTTCATCTCCTCACACTTAGACTACTGTAACTACTTTTCACGTGTCTGAGCAGAATGTCCCTGAACCGTCTACAGGTGGTTCAGATTACCTGTGCTCGGCTTCTGACCAAGTCCTCCAAACACACCCACATCACCCCGCTTCTCCTCCAGCTTCACTGGCTGCCAGTCAACTCCAGGGTTCATTTCAAGATCCTGGTTCTGGTCTATAGGGCCTTACATGGACAAGCACCATCTTACATTGGTGATCTTCTTAGTCCCTACACCCCCAGCAGGTCCCTGAGGTCCAGTGATCAAAGCCTACTGGTTGTGCAGCACCAGGCTAAAGACCAAAGGTGACAGATCATCTGCTGCTGTGGCCCCCAGACTCTGGACCTCTCTCCCCCTGAGCCTGAGATCAGTGGACTCAGTGGTCTCCTTCAAAAAGCAGCTGAAGTCTCACTTGTTCAAGCTGGCTTTTGTATGACCTTCTTCACCACTCTCTCTTTATTCTGCTCTCCCCACCTATTCCACCTTCCTCAGGATCCACTGATTTCCCTCTTTCCTATTCACTCTCTCTCTTTACATTTTTTCTTTTAAATCGCAATAGCTTATTCTTGCTCATTTTAAATATATTTTTAAACATTTTCGAAATGCTTTTTTATATTTTTACAATTTTTATATTTTTTGTTTTTGTGAAGCGCCTCGTGATTTTTATCTTGAGAGGCGCTATAGAAATGATATTTTCTTCTTCTTCTCGGGCATCTGGTCAGGATGCCTCCTGGACGCTTCCTTGGTGAGGTTTTCTGGGCACGTCCAACTGGCAGGAGACCCAAGGGAAAACCTAGGACATGCTGGAGGGACTATGTCTCACGGCTGACCAGGGAACACCTTGGGCCAGCTCCTCTGGGTGAATCCCAAGTAGCTGGGGAGAGTGAAGTCTGGGCCTCTCTTGTTTTTTTTTGTTGTTTTTTTACTGTGTCCTGTCTGGCTGGGAAATTATCAGAATTGATGTCTGAATGCTGAAGACAAGCTTTTCAGTTTTATTCTCACAGGTGGAGTGTTATAGCTTCTGCTAATGCCACGCTTCATACCAAAACTTTATTAGAAATATTTTCGTTTGTTTTAATTACCAACGAACACAGAGACAGAAGTGTGAGAGAGAGAGAGAGAGAGAGAGAGAGAGAGAGAGAGAGAACTGCACCAACAACATGAGGATATAAAAAAGTAAAATTTTTTGCTGAGAAACACACGGTAATAATTCATAGTGCATTTAGTGCCAACCACAGCCACCACACAGGTGGTGTGTTGAAAATGCCGGAGAGCACCATGTGAGCACCTGCGTGCGTCCATATGTAAAATTTCTCTATAGCAGTGTTTCCCAACCCTGATCCTCAGGGCACACTGACCTGCATGTTTTCCATGTCTCTGCTTCAGCACACCTGATTTACATTGGCTCCTCAGGAGGACATTAATTGCTGCAGATGCCTGTTAATCACTGACTCATTGAAGTCAGGTATGGCAGCAGGGAAACACTGGTGTTTAAAAGGGCAACATGGAAAACAAGCAATACTGTGTGCCCTGAGGACGGGAGTTGGGAAACACTGCTCTATAGGAGGGTCCAGCAGTGAGTGTGAGGGGCCACAGACCTGCCCCCAAAGATGTGCAGAAGAAGGAGGAGTTCCCTAGAGAACCAAGGGTCTCCCCGAAGTGCAGGAACCCCAGGGAGACAGCTGCTGGAGAAGGCACAACCCCCACTCCTGAGAGGCGCAGAGGATTACCCCGGGGGTCGCAACCAGCAACCAACAGAGCCCTGGGAGATAACAACGGCAAGCCCCCAGGCCCGCCCTCACCTGCCCACCCCCGAGCTGGCCGAGCTTGTAACATAGCAGCCCGGGACCTAAGGGTGACCATCCCCGCCATGGGCCTCTCTGCTTAAATTGCTGCCCCCGCGACCAGACTCTGGATAAAAGGCTGAAAGTGGATGGTTGGTTCTAAAGCAAATTGCTTTAGAACCAACCAAAGGGTTTAGATTGATCAGCTTTGTTAATTTTATTTAAAATACTGTACAACATTATGGATTTTTTGGGATTAAATTGAAAGCTATTGCTTCAGACCACAAAGATCCTCATACATTTAGTAATAAAAATATTTAATGAAATTCAATAAGCACAATAGCCCAAAATACACAACATTAGTGTTTTTTGCCAGCCAGAATGTTAAACACCTTTAATAAGATCATTAAGGTAAATCTAAATTATACAGTTAGTTGACATGTATAAAATTATGACCTTATAGTTTGGTTTTAAATGTTGCAGAAGGGGATTTAGCTTAATTACAAAATGAAAAATATATTTTGTTACTTCTAGGGATATCAAAATTTTCAGCTTTTTTGGGGGGTATCAACATAATTATGTTTAACATCAACAAATTAGGCATGACACCAATATCCACTGTTGCTTATTATATTGTTCTTTATATCAAAAGACTTGATAAATAAATTAATTTGAAAACAAATAAAAACAAAATCAACATTTAAGGCAAAACAAGATCATTTAAAATATGATTTTAGTAAAGAAAATGCCATTTTTGACTAAAAACAGTGAAACTGTGAAATGAAAGTCGGCCTCCTTCGTTCAGTCTTCCACCGCTAGGGGGAGAAAGCGCTTTCTTCTGGGACGCCTTGGATGCTTACGGGACCGTCTTTGCCGACACGTCCTTGTTTTAATCAGAAAATAACAGGTATCCTTGTTCGTCCGCCTGGCGGTTCGCACCCGGTTACACCCCGGAGGAAAGAGGGCGGAAAGCCGAGTGGAGATACACCCCACCTGACGCAGAGCGGGCCCGCCGACGAAGCGTTCTACTGGTGTATAACAAGCGGGCTGAACCGAAAAGTGCCCGTGGACTGGCACCGCAGTCGGGCTGTGTGGATTTACAGGAGTCAAGCTGCTAAATGGGGCTGCTGTAAAGCCGTCTGTTCCCTTCAGGACCGACTGTCGCCGCGATTCAAGCCTGAATTCAGACACATCGAAGCGGAGATCGTGGATATGGAATGGTGCATGCTGCTGGGCCAAGTTTTCAGCCTCTGAAAAGCACCGGAATCATGGACAGTCATCCGCTGTAAGTGTGTGTGTGTGTGTGTGTGTGTGTGTGTGTGTGTGTGTGTGTGTGTGTGTGTGTGTGTGTGTGTGTGTGTGTGTGTGTGTGTGTGTGTGTGTGTGTGTGTCATTTCCCAGTGGCAACTTGACGGATGGTGCCATATTAACAGACATTGGCCAGCCGGTGTTGTGCCATAAATCGACTCACTGCCAAAAAATGATTAGCTTAGTTTTTTCCAGTTCGGAAGTTGTTTTAAGTGCTGCTATTTGTCTTAAACGTTCACAATAAGGATATATTAATCCTTTTTGCAATATTTGCAATTGAAAGATGGTTTGTGGTAAGAACTGGCTTTCTTTATGTTACAGCCTTGATACTAAAAAATAAATAAACAATGTAAAATGGCGCCCTGTATTGAATGTAAACGTTGTATAAATGTAAATAAACAATTCTCCAGCGATTAGATTTTTTCCCCTTCCTTTCTTTAGTTGCTAATCATTTTTTGGCAGTGAGTCGATTTATGGCACAACACCGGTAAGGCTGCTCCGTGAGTGTGGAGACTGGGGACTGATACCCGGGGAGAGACTGCTGCTACTTTTCATAGTCTGTGACCATGGAGGGTATTTGTTTGTGGCACAAAAGGCAAGTGTGTGTGTGTGTGTGTGTGTGTGTGTGTGTGTGTGTGTGTGTGTGTGTGTGTGTGTGTGTGTGTGTGTGTGTGTGTGAGACAGAAACCTGGGGCGACGTGATTTTGCCATGATGAGTAGCATAAATGACACTTTTGTTATGCAAAAGAGAAGCCAGAGGTTGTGGAAATTATACAATACAGAAATTTGAATTATCCCACGTGATCACTGCTCAGATCCAGATAGTATGATTTACTTTTCTCACAACAAACAAACACTCGCACACATAATCAGTGATTAATCCAGTTGGGCACAGACCTGATCCTTCATTTTCAGGTAACTTTATAAGTAGGTCCAGTTGTGTTGTGAAGCGCATTGTAATACCTTTGTAATCACTATTTTATTTAGAAAGATTTTTCATAGTAAAGAACTAAACATCAAAAAATATGATTTACAAACTAGTATTCATATCAAACTCAGTTAATTATTTTAAGTCAATAAGTGATTGAATTCTGAAAAATTTGGGGAGAGAAAACAAGCTCTGATAAAACATTGTGGCTTCTGGGTGGCCCTAAAAAAGAAATGTTTTTTTGTCCCTTTATGGAAAATGTACATTACTAGGTAAGAAAAAAACATTGGAAAAAGTTAGATCCATGGTAGTAATAAAATTAACTATTCAAAACAAAAAACGATACAAAATTAAATAAATAACTTCTCGTCTGACTGTAACAGGCAGCCTATAAATAACTGCATATTAGATGCACCCAAAACATCGTCTGGTGATTGGAACTGGACAGTTTTCAGTGTAGCTGTTGCTCAGCCATCTGAAGCTCTGATTTTCATTTATTTCTCAGTCCATGAATGCACCACTAGTATTGTGACTTTTGTTCCGAGTCTGTGAACTCACCTTCACAGTAAGCATTAATTTATGCTTGCAATAACAAATCTTACAATGGAAGTTTTTACAATCAGAAATTTCAAGTTAACCATAAGTTGGGGGAAATGCGTTTTGTTGTTTTATAAATGCATCCGAGTCGACTAATTAGGCAGGTGGCCGGTCACAGTTGTACAGAATCAGAAATTGTCATCAGCCCTCAAATTCATAGTCAGTGCATTATTCTTTAAGACTTTATTACATAGTTTGTGCTTTTAAAGTAACATTTCTTAATAAGTTAATATCTTTAATCATTTTGTAGTCCTAACTGATCTATGCATGAAGAACTGCATGTCGCGTCAGCAAAATAAGGAATCCAGGTGTGAGGATGAAATACTCCAAGATAAGAGAATAAAAAGAACAATTAAAATATAAGTGAGTCACTGGGCGTGTGAGGCGTCTTGTGTCATTCCTAAAACGCATCTGCAGTTAAACAGCATCTGTTCATCTTTAGAACACATAAGAGAAGGAAATCCCTTGGAAAGAGCTGACCCATAAACTAAGGTGTGCTTCATTCTTCAGCTGAGTGGTCTGATAGGTCTTTGATAATCCCAAAAACATTAATCTGCCTGTCCAATTGGGAGACTGATAACTTGACATCTATGTTCCAGTTTCAACAAGAAAACCTTCAAGCTAGGATTGTACGAACTGTTAACTAAAACTTCCTGCATCCAGGTCCGAATTGCATTACTCTCATTGTGTCACAAACCTAATAAGATGGCTTCAAAAAATGAAGAATAAGTCAAACTCTGCTTCAAATCGTGTCCTATTGAGCTCCGTGGAGTGGATGCACCCAGATTAACGTCAGAGCTTCTTGTATTTATCACATCTGTTTGTCTACCTGATGATTTACTCACCTGTGCGGTCCATCCCAGGTGTACTAGACTCTGTCCACACTCTCTGGACAAGGAGGATGGAGTCGAGAGGCAAGGTACCATCGCACTGAACCCTCGGCACATGAGGAAAGCGTTTAAAGTCATGAACGAGCTGCGCAGGTGACTTACATCCTCTGTCCATGTCAAACACCAGTGTGTCTGGATGTAACCCATAACCTGTTTGTGTCTCCTTCATGCAGCCAGAGCCTGTTGTGTGATGTGACTATAGTTGCAGAGGACGTAGAGATTTCTGCTCACAGAGTGGTACTGGCTGCTGGAAGCTCTTATTTCCATGCTATGTTTACTGGTAAGGACCCAGCCTTTTTGCCGATCAGCACTCTTGCTGCTCTTTTGGTTTTCTAACACATGTGATGGTGCAAGCAGGTGAGATGGCAGAGAGCCGGGCCAAACGGGTGAGAATTAAGGAGATGGATGGCTGGACTCTGGGTCTGCTGGTGGACTACATCTACACAGCAGAGATACAGGTCACAGAGGACAACGTTCAGGTAACAGCCAGCTTTGCAGAATCGGATTAAGTTAAAGATACAATAAATAAGAATTTTACAGTGAAGCAATCACTAAACAGTCTAATGAAGGTTACATTTAAACATTTTTCCCTCTGTTGGTTACCAGGTTTTGTTTTTTAAAAAAGCCAAAGAGGGACGTAGTCTTTGTTTACAATCTGTCCTGCTTCCATACTTCCTGGTTCCAGAGGTCATCATATATGAGCTTGCAGGGTTACAAAGTCTGCGCAGCAGCATTTTGTAAAGATCCTAAGCAGGAGCGACCCAGAACTTACGTCTTGTACCCCGTAGAAGCCACGGCATCTTTTCGTTTTACTCTAATGTCAGCTAAAGAAAGAAAGACAGGAAACAATCTTTTATATGGCACCTCTCAGGAGAAACATCATGAGGTGCTTCACAAAAACAAAAAAAAAAAAGATTAAAGTATAAAAAAGATTTAAAAAAATAAAAGATTCAAATGTTTAAAATAAGAAAAAATAGAAATTGTGATAAAAGTTTAAGGAAAGGGAGAGAGCAAATGAATAGGAAAGAGGAAAATCAGTGGATCCCAGGAAAGGCAGAATAAGAGCTGAAGGCTTGAGGCTAATGGTAAGATAAGAATGCTAATAGTGATTTAGAAAAAAAATGTCGGCTCTAAAAAAATCTCCACCTACTTTTTAAAATACCATCAACAGTATTACAGTGGACTGTATTAGTACCGTGTATGACTCGTCTTCGCGCTGAGCTGTAGCTGGCAACAGTTGCTCAGAGCAGACTTTAGTACCCACATTTGACCACAGGATGTCATTCTTACTTCGTGCACCTTTAACTTTCACCATCTCATTACATATCAAGCAGAACACATACAAGCTGTTGGCGTCATGCTGAGGAAACAAACTGGATGGCATGTCTAGTTTCAAAGTTTTTGGAACACTTAGTTGTGAAACCTCAAACCTAAAATTAAGATGAGAACAAACAAGCAAAAATAAAATAGCAATTAAAGGGAGAGTAGGCAGTTTTGGCTTGCTTTTAGCACCCCTGTGTCTGTTTTTAGAACCGAAACCAAAACCCATCTTGTTGCTGTGCGTTCGTCTTTTTAACACCTTCATCTAGCTGCTGAAATGTCTCCCCAGCTTTCCTAAGTGTCTACAGGATTGGTCCATCACTAAATTAAACAAATCAGCTGAGTTCATGATCTTACACACACAGAAAATGTGCTGGAGCCAGACTGCAGCTCCAGGTAAGTCAGCTCAATTTTTTCTAAGTCAATAACTAACAATAACTAACAGACCAGATCGACAACTGTGAAGCTGCAAGTGCAATATTCTGGCCACCGGGGCTGGGTGGCATTTCATTAACCATGTAAAGGGTGATTTTAGCACATTCTGGCTCAAGAAAATGATAAAAAAATATGAAAAGTTGCAAAGTATCCCTTCAATCTGTTTTGTCCTGTGTGTACACCTTGTTTCTGTTTTCCAGGCTCTCTTGCCTGCAGCAGGACTTCTCCAGCTCACCGAGGTGAAGAAATCTTGTTGTGAGTTCCTGAGCTCTCAGCTGCATCCGTCCAACTGTCTGGGGATACGAGCCTTCGCCGACCTACATGCCTGCTCCCAGCTTCTTGCGCTGGCTAACATCTATGCAGGTCTGTGTCCTCTAAATACAGCAGCGCCCCTTGTTTCTCTGTTAAAGGGAGTCTGCTTGTGTCTGGGAGCATGTGGAACAAGAGCAGGAGGAAAGAATGAGCACGAGTTTAATTAATGAAGTTAGAAACTTTCCTGGAAAACTTCTGTGTTTGTAAAACAAGAAGTAGTTTAACGTGATCTTTGTGCTGACAGAGCAACATTTCGCTGAGGTGGTTGGAACTGAGGAGTTTCTCAATTTGGGCATGGACCAAGTGTCGAGCCTGATTGCCAGCGACAAGCTCACCATCCCCACAGAGGAGAAGGTACGAACTTTGATCTTGTCCAGCACAGATGTGACACCCCAGTAGAGGGCTGCATCGGGATTGGGTCCCGCGGGACCCAACACAAATCTTGCGGGAGCGGGCGGTGTGAACTTTGCTGCGGGCGGGAACGGTCGGCTAAAAGTAACAGTGCGGGATCGGGATGAGTATGATGGAGTCGGCAACTGATGTTGAAAAGAAGCTGAAACAAGGTCTTTATGACACAAACACCAACGAAAGGCAAGTCAGACATTTGGAGGAGTTTCTCCGATTGTGTTAATATTTCTCATTCAGGTCTCTCTTAGAATAGCGACCCCGATCACTGCCTGATTAGAGAGGAGAATAGAAAAAGAAACGGCCTTGACTTCATTAACCATTTAAGCACCACACAGTAGCTCCTTTATTTTTTTTTAAAGAATTTTATAGTTTAAGTAGCGAGGAGTTATTTGAAATGAAATGCGCCAGGCGTCATCGGCATTAAAGGGTTAAAAACTAAATGAAAACAAAGTGCGTCAAACCTGACCAATGTGTTAAAAGATGTGCAGAATCCGATCAATTTGTTTTCCCCTCAGTTACAGTCACGGAGATAACGGCGCACTGGCTCTGGTGGTAATCAAGTTCAATTTTATCTCTTTCCAACAATTTTCACAAGAAAACAGAACAGTCAAAAGCAGGACTTGTGTTGTGCTGACCGAATAGTTCCCGTATTTGACCGTTTATTTTGACAGAGAAAGAATAGAAAGAATTACCCCGACGCATGCAGACGAACTGACGCAGATGTAGCTAAATCGCCCAAGAAAAGATTCCCATCTGAACATCTGAGCTGGACACCGAGCTCAGCGCAGCTCGCTGTCAGCGTGTACATAAGGTGCACAGCGAGCTGAAGATGTGGAGAGGGGCTTGGAGAGCGTTGCAGAACCAGAGCGCATGCGGGAAGCTTCCTCCCACTGAAGCGAGTGTTTTCCAAACCCTGTCTCTCAGAGAGACTTGTCACTTAGAAAAATTTCCCTGATTATGAAACTTTGGCTGAATAGTGCTTGTTCCTGTCTCCAATGTGGCGTCTGAGGAGAGTCCCAGAATCTCACATCCTCTTCAGCTCAGGAAGCGCCGATATGATTACGCACAAACGTGACGCGTCAACCCGGTCTTAAGACCGGATTGGAACTGTTCAGGTTTACGCAGACAATCTTTACATTTAGAATCAACATAGATATAAAATTAATTCAGTAAAATATAAAGCATTTTATTTAAATATCCATTCATTATTTTACAAGCACAGAGAGCTGCATCAGATGGATGGAAGAGCCGAGGGTTGCCGATCCCTGGTATACTCTATAAAATGACATGTTGAGGACACAAACTCAATACATCTCTTTTATTGTGAGGTAATAATTTCTCAGAGTTTTGCGGTTGCGGGCGGGAGTGGACATGCACACTGCGGGTGCGGGCGGTAATGGTCAGAAATTCAGCGGGAGCGGGATGGAGAAAACAGTCCCGTGCAGGGCTCTACACCCCAGTCCAATTACTTTTGCGTAACACCGGTGTGATTTCTCCACAGGTCTTTGAAGCAGTTATAGCGTGGGTGAACCATGACAAAGATGTCCGCCAGGAACACTTGGCTCACCTGATGGAGCATGTTCGTCTACCGCTGCTCTCCAGAGAATACCTGGTGCAGGTGCGCTGGTCTTGGCCTGCGTGTTGTTTGTTTTACCAGTGTCTGAGAAAACATCGATTCTCTGTCTCCGTTGTTTTGGCTTCAAATTAGAATTCACAGTTGCTTCCTATCACAGAAGACAACAGGTGATCAAATCAAAAAGGGTGAGCTTGTTTCTGATTTTACTGGTAACACAACAGGTGTTCTGGTGACTGCAGGGTCATATTTAAATGTGCCTCACAGCGGGGCTTTAGTCAGGGCAAAGCAAGACTGAGACAAGTCTAAAACACTGGGGTGATGAAGATCACCATGGAATGATACTGATGAGTGAGCAGAGTCACTGACGTTCACACCTTCAGTAGGGATGTCCGATATTATCCACCCATTATCACTTTCAGCCGATATCGGGATTAAAATGAAATATTGGTAGTTATCTGTATCCATTTTTACTTTTTTAAAGTGACAGCGTGTATTTTCCCTGGCGATAGGGGGCAGTAGATACCTAAATCCTTGCAAGCAAGCATTATTTTTGTGTAAGACCTTACCAACAGATGGCCATTAGGGTAAAAAATCCTTGGGAGTACAACCTCCAGCAAAATAACAAGAACATCAGATTCCCTTTCATTACTTGCAACGAGTGAAGAGGTAAACGTGTAAGAGAAAAATCTTTATTAATGCTGAAAGTTTTGCAACCATTTGTTACAAATCAGTAAATGCACTTTGTTGTCACGGGACTGAAACTTGGCATCCAATATGGCGTTGCCCAGAGACTTAGGCCCAATTCCAATACTCGCACTTGCACCCTTGCGTCCTACATTCCTGGCCAGGGGTGCGAGTGCGTAGAGTGTCCCGATTCTCAAGCGTGGAAGTTGGCCACGCCCCCATTACACCCTTAATCTGCACTTCACCCAAGTCCGCAGTGATGTGGACCTTGGGCAACGGTATTACCCACAAGTCATTGCTGCGGGAGAAATGGCTCAAGTTCCTTTTCTGAAAATATGTATTTTCTAATCAAATTTGTTCATTTTAGGAAGATTATTTGATGCTCTGAATGTTTTAGACAAAGCAGCAATGAAGTAAAATTTATTTCAAAGAATTGCCTTGTTGTTTGAAAGTTGTTAATAAAGGTTTTTGAAAAAAGTTTGACAGCGACCAGCATCCCGGCGTGCGGTGCGATCGATGACGCAATGCTCCCTGTCTCAATTCGGCAATTATTTGCACACTTGTGTACTATGCATTCAAACCCTACTGCGCTCTTTCTCCAAGTGCACTTTGTTGAAGACCACAGGGTGCAGTGCGAGTATTGAGATTGGGCCTTAGACCCGCTCCCATGTATTTTAGAACAGATTTTTATGGTTATGTGTTGTGAAACCACCAATATTTTTCAACAACTGGACTTCATTGAATTTATTTACAACAGTTTAATTGATTATTTCCAGAAATGAATGGTAAAAACTACACATTGTCACTTTAAAGAGCAAGTCACCCCCAAATAAACTTTTTTTTGCTGATAAACTAAATAAACGAGTGTCTAATCGTGCTGCAGACACGTGTCGTCAATAATTTGGCACTTCAGTGCATCTTAGTTAAAATTTAAATATTCTGCCTAAAACTGTCAGTGTTGTGCCGTTGTCAGGTAAAAACTCTGCACTGTATTCTAATTTAAATCTGCCACCACTATTGGCTAAGAGGTATGCTATGATGTAAACTGGTACGTTATGATGTCACAATGCCTGTGTGTTTGTGTATTTGTTAGCAGCTCCGCCCTCTCGGTCTGCCAGGCAACAGCATTTGTTGCATTTTTCAAACATGAAGTGGGAGTGGAGTTAGAATCTGGTACGGGTTGACTTGCTCTTTAATGACGCAACCTTGACATACCATGCTCATATTATACAACAAACTCTTCAGCCACTTCTCTCACTCAAAATAAATAAAAAAACGACAGATCTGAGGTTTAGTTAATTAGATATTTTTGTTTGTGTGGCACAGTTAGCCTAACTTAAATGGAAGTAGTCATCACATTTTGTACATGCAAGTGATGGGACAGTTAACGCAATGGTTCCCAACACTTGCCTGGGTTCAAGACAAGCCAAGGACCCCCAACACCAACTCCTACCCACATATGCACATTAAAAGGGATTATTACAAACTTTATGCAGACATTCAGAGTTATAAATCTTACAGAGTTTGATTTATACTATTGGGTGTGTAAGGTGGGATTTTCAAAATGCTATTTTTTTACAAATGTAGTTTTGGTAACCTCAGCACAGACAAAATTGTGGGTGACCCCTTTAGGGGGTCACAGACCCCCAGGAACCATTGAGTTAGCGCATAATATTGTTGTTTTTCTCTTTAAAGAGCAAGTAACTATCAGTTGTCCTTGAAACAACCCAATTTGATTGGTTCCTCTTCTGCCGTGGCAGCGTGTGGAGGAGGAATCCCTCATCAAAAACAGCAGTGCTTGTAAAGACTACCTGATTGAGGCCATGAAGTACCACCTACTACCAGCAGACCAGAGAGCTCTGATGAAGACGGCTCGCACCAGAATGAGAACCCCTGCCTCCAGTCCCAAGGTAGAAACACGGCCACCACTCAGAGGCTACGGGTCAGGGGGTCGAGCTCTTTCACACCCCCAACAGCTTGCCTCGTAACTCTTGTTTCTCTGGTGTTTAGGTGATGGTGGTGGTTGGAGGTCAGGCTCCTAAGGCCATCAGGAGTGTGGAATGTTATGACTTTGAGGAGCAGCGATGGTACCAAGTGGCTGAACTTCCCACCAGGAGGTGCAGAGCAGGTAGGAATAATAAAAACCTCTATTGGCTTTTGTCCTCCAGACCCACAGCAACCCTATCCAAATGTAGAGCTCGAAAAGTGACTAACACACTTTCAAACGGAGAATACCCTGAGCGTGATGTACAGATTTAGTCTTCTGGTGCTCCATGAGACAGACTGTTGTTATTTTACCACAGGAAACGATCCATGCTGGTAACCAGTAATGAAAGCAGGCTGTGTTTGTAAGCACAACGAGGAATGGGTGGCGCTTCATTATCTCCTGTGATGAATGAATTAGAACTGAGATCTGTGCTGCATGTTTTTGAACGCGTTGGAGACGAGGACGAGCAAGCACAGATCTATAAATGCAATGATGCACAAAATGATTTTTTAATGCATGCAACTTCACGGTGACAGGCGCACAGGAGTTAAGTGCTCGCCCAGTAATCGGAAGGTTGCAGGTTCGAGCCCCGCTCAGTTTGTCGCTGTCATGGGCAAGACACTTAACCCCCCTTGTCAACTGGTGGTGGTCGGAGGGACCGGTGACGCCAGTGCTCGGCAGCCTCGCCTCTGTCAGTGCGCCCCAGGGCAGCTGTGGCTACATCGTAGCTCATCCCCACCAGTGTATGAATGTGTGTGTGAATGGGTGAATGACTGATTGTGTTGTAAAGCGCCTCGGGGTTTCCAGGACTCTAGAAGGCGCTATATCAAATACAGGCCATTCACCATTCTCCAGAATAATGTCTTCCAAGATTTTAAGTACGGTTTTTATTTTTTAAGTTTGGGAAGTCCAGAAATGATATGATTTAGCAGAAACCTTCTGCAGATTCATGACAGACGAGTTAAGAGTTCACTTTAACAGGTCGTGTGTGTTGGTGTATGCTGTGCCTCATGTTTTGCAGGTGTGGTGTACATGGGTGGATGTGTGTATGCGATTGGTGGATTCAATGGCTCCTTGCGTGTGCGGACAGTCGACTGTTACGAGTCAGTGATGGATCGCTGGACAAGTGTGAGCAGCATGCAGGACCGGCGGTCGACCCTCGGAGCTGCGGTTCTGAATGGACTCCTCTACGCTGTCGGAGGCTTTGACGGCAGCACGGGTACTTCTGTGTGTTTGTGTTGATAAAACTCCTGTAATGTGGCCGTAGCTGCAGCGTCTGATAGATGTGCTGCCATCACTTGCAGGCCTGTCCTCAGTTGAAGCGTACAACGCCAAGACAGATGAGTGGTTCCATGTGCTGCCCATGAGCACCCGGCGCAGCAGCGTAGGAGTGGGTGTTGTTAATGGTGATTACAATTCTTTCTGTTTTCTACAGTTTGCATTTAGGAAAAGACTTAGCAGCTTCACAAAACAGCAAAACATGACGGTGTTTGCAGGAATCTTGTATGCCGTCGGAGGTTACGATGGAGCCACCAGGCAGTGTTTAAGTACAGTAGAGGCTTACAACCCCAAAAGCAATGTGTGGAACTACATAGCAGAGATGGGCACGAGACGCAGTGGAGCAGGTGTGTTTGTGACCTGGTGATGTTGTTTGACTAAACCTTTTCTGTTTGATGTTCATACTTTTACTTTTCATTCAGGCAAAATAAAAAATCCCCTTAATGTTTGCACATTTTAACAAAACTCTATGGATTTGAGATGATGGATGTTATTTAATGGATAAAGAGACCTGCATAGACTCATTTATCCTCCGACAAATTGTGTTCAGTGAGGGGATGCGTCTAAATTACTCTGCTGTTGTTTGGGAACTGGCTTGGAAGTTTTAAATGAACATCTGGATGAAGATGGAAAAACAGGATGTGTCATCTACAGAAAACCACATTAGTTGTAAAAATTTAAAAAAAAAGAAAGAAAAGTGAGCTGTTGAGATGACTTTACAACCATATGTATGGCCACATGTCGCCTCTAGGTGTCACCTTTTGCCACAAAACCTAAAAGAATCCTTAGTACAGATGTTGGAGGGAAAGGGTACACATTATTTGCTGTTGATTAAAACTTTTCCCATGTCCCCCTCAGGTGTAGGTGTGTTAAAAGGGTTACTGTATGCTGTGGGGGGGCATGATGGCCCATTGGTCAGAAAGAGCTGTGAAGTTTACGACCCAGCTTCAAACAGCTGGCGGCAAGTCGCCGACATGAACATGTGTCGACGCAACGCCGGTAAGTAAGGAGCAGATTTACGAGACGTCATCACTCAAGCGTTTGAATTTATCAGGCATTCGTTTATTGTTGTGTGTTTGTGTTCTCAGGTGTGTGTGCTGTCAACAACTATCTTTATGTGGTGGGAGGAGATGATGGCAGCTGCAATTTGGCCTCAGTGGAGTTTTACAATCCCAGCTCTGATAAGTGGACACTGCTGCCAACTTGCATGAGTACAGGCCGCAGTTACGCAGGTCAGTTCACAGGACGAGTGGCAGGTTTATGATTTACCTGCACACCTCAGAATAACGAGACTCAGTGGGTGTTGGGAATAAGTCGAGAAGCAGAACTTTGTTTGTGGTTTAGACGTGTGAGCAAGATTTATGCCTTCAGTGCTGCTCACCTATTCCTGAAGACTCAGAAAGGTTAAAGGACTGTTCTGAAACCTTTTCAGTAGTGTAGTAGTATATATTTATATATACCAGGGTTAGAATAAAGCAAGGGTCTCCAACCGCTTTTGGCCCATGAGAAAATCTCCCGCCATATGATTTTTTCATATTCTTACTTTCCATGTGTGAACATGCTTACTATGTTAAAAATGCTATACTTTATATATTAACATGGTCAAGTTGATTTCTATGTATTTCAGTACATCAATATTATAAAAAAAATACATGGTAAATACCGTAAATCCTCTAATACAGGCCGGTATTCAAATAAAGGCCGGGTCTCCAATTTCGGCCGGTGTCTGAGTCGGCGGAGGTGAATAATGGCCGGTCTCTTATTGTGGCCGGGTGGAATGTGGTAACAAGCAAGTACGGGGGTGGGGGGGTGGGGGTGGGTGGTGGGGGGGGCTTGTGTCATCCGTCTCACTTTTGATTTGCCTGTGATAGGCCGCGAGGGTAACTTTAACCGTGCGGAGACGAAGAGGAGGCGAAAATTTGATATCAAGTTCAAAGAGAACGTGCTGATTATGCTGCAGAACACTCTGGGGAGCAGTAGCAGGGGTTGTATGAACTAGTCGACTTCACTATAGTGACTTTTTATGCCTGTCATCGACTAGTCGCTGTCACGTGATAATGACCGGCGAGATGCAGTCCACGGAAAAGACAGCAGCCTGCTGTTAGCAGGTGACAAGCTCCTGCGCTCGGGGGGGCAACGTGCTGTGCCAGAGCGTAGGTACTGACACGCGATCGTTCATGTCGGTTCATTTCCTTTAATGTTTTCTGTCTTTTATTTGCGCCTGATGTGTTTCGCTGCTGTGGAGCGGGGCGCATCACCTTGTCCTCCGGTGACACACCGATCACTGATGTGGCCGGCGAGCAGCGAGCACTCCGCTGTTTTTGCGGTCGGTAGATCTTTTAGAACTGCAGTTCAAAGGTAACTCATAAGGTGAATATATATGAACCCAGGTAACAGTTTTTCTTTAGGATTGAGAGGAGATGCAGGAAGATAATAAACAGGCAGGACAGAAAAATAGTCAAATAAAAACAAGTTAGTTTTTGTACCTGCTGGTTGCAACAAACAGACACCATTGAAGGTCATCAGAAGTGAGGAACAGAAAATGAAATAATTATTTTAATGTTTAGAGCAGCAGGAACTCTGAGAGGCTGCAGGCGCATCAGTGAGTTTGCGGCCGCTGCGCAGGGGGAGGGGGGAGAGAGTTGAAGCAGGGGGAGGGGGAGGGGGGAGATGGCTGAAGCAGAAACTACCGTTGTTAAAAGAAATGTGTTTAACTTTGAAAATGTGGGCGCAATTTTAATTGTCAAAAACTCGAGCGAACCATTAGTTCATTTTGCTCAAATAGAAATTGAGGCCTGCCTCTAATACTGGCCCTCCTTCCAATAAAGGCCTGGAGCTTGATGAGCTTTAGTCAAATACAGGCCCGGGCCTGTATTAGAGGATTTACGGTAGTAACATTCTGAAAATCAAACTAAACAAACATTTTGTTTATTAACTAGTCAGATACTTTCAGATAACAAATCTACTTCGTGTGAATGATGTGACATATTTTTACAATAGATCAGTAACATAACTTAACAGCTCACCTGTTCCTGTTCAGTCCCTGACCCTGTGCCCTGCCTGGAGCCTAAGCAGCAATGTGTTCAGCTGTTACATGTAAAAAATGAACTAGAGAACTAGAGAATGCATTTAATACAAACCTTTCACGTAATTGTTTTGTATTCATTATTTTAATGAATAAAGCTGAAGACATTTTGATAAAATACGAGCTAAATGTGATGAAAATATTCTAAATAATTTGAACTGAAGGGAAAAATGTAAAAACAGAAATCAAGAGTTATTTTAGTTGTTTTTTTGCTCATGTAAGTTAAGTTTGCTTCACTATTGAATAACTGCAGGTAAATTATGCCTCGATGCATTTATTGATGACTATATTAAGGTTGGAGGCTTAGTTTAGGGCTACAAAAAATGATTACTTGGATCATCGGTGAATCGTGGGTGGGGTGTCGACTCGATAAGCAGGAAAATTTAAAAACTGCTAGGGAAACGTTTTTTCTCTCCTTCCTTTACTTTAACAACAGAACATGATTAGAAAACTGTTCAATAGCATGCAAAACAACATGCTATCACCTAAATAGATCCATATTTAAACTATGATCAGTACAGTTTATTTAACATGTTCAGTAGTAAGCTACTGGAAATGTTAGTAGTTTGTTTATTTTCTTCATGAGTCTGATGGCGAGCAGAGAGCGAGAGTGTTCACAATCATGTTTTATTACTAAATGAGAAAATCAGCTGAAACTGTTGAGGGAAATTTGTTGAATCTATATCAGGAGAGGTCCAGAGTTAGGAAGCCTGTGTTCATCGTGTGTTCATAAACAAACTGCATTTATTTTGCGTTAACGAGCTGTTATCGCAGATAGGACTTTACTGTCACCCAGATTATTTTGCTGAGGATGTTTTCTGAAACCAAGTCTGTGTAACTGACGTCACCCTGTCTCCTTTAGAAGTGCATCTTCACCCCCCTGCAGCTGCAGCCGCTCAGATCAGAAACGGGGATCTGTGCTGCAACCTGAGCAATTAATCCATTAATTAATTCATCAGAATTTTATTGTACTTCTACAAAAATATTTTTAGATTAGATATTACAGAAAATGGGGATGGCTTGCCAACAAATAAACATATATGCCCCTTGTTATTCTTAAACTCCTCCACGAATGAGATCGCGGGTACAAGCGGCCGAAATGCGTTTTCTCCACAGAGTGGCTGGGCTCTCCCTTAGAGGTAGGGTGAAAAGGTTGGTCATCCGGGAGTGGCTCAGAGTAGACCTGCTGCTCCTCCACATTGAGAGGAGCCAGTTGAGGTGGCTCGGACATCTGGTCAGGATGCCTCCTGGACGCCTCCCTGGTGAGGTTTCCCGGGCACGTCCAATTGGGAAAAACCCTACAGGAAGACCCAGGACATGTTGGAGAGACAATGTCTCACGGCTGGCCAGGGAATGCCTTAGGATTCCCCCCGAGGAGCTGGTCCAAGTGGCTGGGGAGAGAGACGTCTGGGCCTCCCTGCTTAGGCTGCTGCCCCTGCGACCCGACCCCAGATAAGCTGCCGAAAATAGATGGATGGCTGGATGCCCCTTGTTATTTACAACTCAGGATGGCTCGCTGGCTGCTTCCAGGCGAGCGACTTTCAAGCTACCGGTGGCTTGCAAGCGACGTGTGGAGACCCCTAGATTTAAGGATATTTATGTGGGAATTTTCATCTAATTCTTCCTTGAAGAAATGCTAATTTCCTGCTACCTGTCATGCCAGAGTTTTAAAACAAAATGATTTATGCTGAGAAATAAATGTAAAATAAGGAAAAGATGCAACATAAAATATCATCACAAGATGATGCATGATCTGGTGGTGCTCAAACGTTGTGTTTATGTCTAAAACTGAGCCAGGTTAGCAAAACTACAAAGTCTTTTCTGCTTATGTGTTTTGATGTGGAAGTTAGCTAAAAGTAGGGCTAATGCTAACTCATGTCCTCACAGCTCTAATATGGACTGTTTCTCAATACCCAAGTACACAAGTACGATCTTGTATACTTTAAAAGTACATTCTTGGCAAGTACAGCAGAAAGTTCATTCTATGGAGTTTGGGAGGATGAGGACGGCAGAACTGTACTCTGTTACGCCATGGTAGCAAGCGCTGCTTCATACTACGGTAAAAGACAGGACCTCAAATCAAAATAAAAGGAAACATTGGTTTTCTTTTGATGGTGGGTTAGCTAAATAGCATTTTGAGGTATCGTGGGATGTGGGGCAGCATTAGCAGAAATAAAGTCCTTACCTACAATAAATCACAGTACAGGGTCAGAATCTCATTTTTACTTGGTTCACTCTATCCATTGTTTTACACATTTGTCCTGTACTAGAATGTTTTACCTATTTTGTAATTTGTATTTTGTACTTTGAATTGCCTTTATTTTTGATTTATTCAATAAATTTACCTTCAACTGAACCATGTTCAGCGCTTTGGGCTTCCCGACAGGGTTGTGGAAGGCGGTTTATAAATAAAGCTTTGATTGATTGATTGATACAGATTTTAAAACAATTGTACGTATTTCCTGAAAAGGGGGGAAATTCCTGGATTTCTGGTTTGTTTAACTCTGTTTAGATAAAAAGAAGATTCTGATCTAATTACATTTTAAATTAGTACTTCTCTAAAATGTGTTGATGACGCAGATGTTTCCCGTCCTCCACAGGTGTGACCGTGATCGACAAGCCTTTATGACTGTTCTTGTCACTTGCCGCTGGTTAGAAGCAGAATGTACTTTCCTGCTGAATGCTGATCTTGGATCTGTCTACGATGCTGATGCCTGAGTTTTGGGCCGCATTAGCAACAGGCACTGATGAAGATGAAGAAAATAACAAAATTCGTTATTGTTGAGGATGATGAAGAGCTTTTGCACTTGCCTGAGATGAGAGGCAGTTGTAAGGAATGAGAAAGGGGGGATCGAACCTGTGTTTTAATCCGCTCCGGACTGGAATGAAGCCAAGACTGGGTGACCCAGTTAGAAGCACCACTGTATCGCTGCAGTGCCATTGAAATATGCTACTGATATAAAGCTGCTAACTTACTTTATCATTAGTAAAAGGAACACGAAGCAGATCTGACACAGATCACTTGTCTAATATTTTAGAAGGACCGTTTTTGAACTGAAATGGGCGTTTTTGTTCTTTTTTTCTGAGAAATGTGCTTGCATATCGAGGTGCTCCATTGCTTGCACATGTAGGCATGTGTTTCGTTTGCATTTGTGTAGGGGGTTATTTGTGTATGTGTGTGAGGCCTCATTCGATGCCGCATGAACACACTTCTGACCTGCTGCAGCGAGGCTCTTTAACAGTGCCTGAATGTCAAAGTCCACCTCCTTCTTTCCTCTGTTCTACCCGCGAGTACGAACACAGCTGGACTCAAACTCAGCTCATCTGGAATGTAAGGATAAAATCTGGCAGAAAAGTTTAAAATGGCTGCATTAGCTTGTGTTTTGTAGCAGAATACGTTCCTGAGAACATGATAGTGTACGTTTTTCATAAAGAAAAGCAGGCTGGTTTGAAAAAACCCTCCTCTGGTGGGTGAGAGGTCTCGGTCATGTTGCCACACATGGTGACAGACCGAGAAGCTGTTTGAAATGTGAAACAGCTGGATGTGTCTGTGCTTAATCAATTTCCCTCTGGGATTAATAAAGTATTTTTGAATTGAATTGAATTTACTGTCAGCCATAATTACTGTGGTTGTAACCACTGATTACAGCAGCACCCTGAACTCACTGCATGGACCTCGTCTCTACTCTGTCATCCAGGCCCCACCCCTTTCTTTGGTGTAAAAAACCACTGCACACACCCTCAAATGTAATACGAATGTGCCAATTTCCTGGTCTTCTCTATTTTCTGTCCCGCTGTTATGCTTCGTTACTAAACTGTCCTCTTTCTGGAAAGTGACCAAACCTAATCTTGAGTTTTTTTTATTCTTGTCTCTTTTTTTTCTCCTGCTGTAATCCAAACTTGCTATAAAAGTGGTATCGCTGTTTCTCGTGTGTGTTTTGAGGAATGTCATGTAGACTAATAACTTGGAAAAAGTTTTATTACATGTTTTATATTATTGGTATAAGTAATAAATATGCTTCTTTATTTAAAGCTGTGAAATAATATAACCTGTTTTTAAGACTTTGCCTAATCAGTAAAACATTGAAGCAGGAAGTTCCTTGTGTGGTGATTTTGTTATTTAGAGTTTTAAACAAAGCCAACTTTTTCCTCTTGATGACCTTTACAAAAACTCCACAGTATCGTTTGGCAGGATTGTATTTTGCGCAATTTCTTGGATGCATGTAGAAAAGTTTAAAACCACCTCTAATTCTGATCTTTTCCAATTTAATGTTTAATTGTCTATTTTAACGTTTATTAAATGCTTTTTAGTCATTAAAATCAGCTAAACTTGAGATGAACCAGTGTTTTTGTGGTTCTTCAGTATGCAGAGTAAGAGGAGCTTGCTTTTATTTTAGCTGACATGCTTCTACTGCCGCCTTCGGCGCTATCGCCGATGTTAGTAGCGTCACTTCCGTTTATCTGCGGGCAGCTGAGAACGATGTCAAATGACAGAGAATTCATGGCTAGGAATGACGTCAGTTTTGGAACTATTTTTCAACCATGACGGGACTTCTTGTACTGACGTCGTTTCAATGGTCATCAAACGTGCAAATGTTTGCTGAGGTCATGATGTACACATCCAACGCATGTGTATGGATGTTACCTAGTGGACGTCTACTCTCAGCTGATTCACAGCATGTTATGTCAGGCGGACTGGGACAATAAATCAGGCTGGTAATTTGAAACCATCCCAGGCCAGCACCAGATTAACGCAAAACACTAAAAGTTAGTCGGGTTGTAAAACAACTCAATTAAAGCTTCAAATGCACCCTGTTTCTTTCCCCTACAATATAAATATTTGTGTTCTGCAGCGATAACCTGTACTTTTATTGCATAAGCTGAAATTCTATTTTATTCTGTTACTTGTGCCTCCTGCACATTTACCAGTGTACAGTAGTAGATGAAATAGAATAGACACCATCATCCACCTGAACTGGAAACTAACATGTACCAGTCTATTTATACACGTCACTACTGGGTCAAATCAACAGAATTACACCATAAACAGAAAAGTGTGTGTGGGGGAAGTGGTGGTGGTAGTTATAATTATAACATTTGTATTTAAAAGATACGAAAAAGAGACAATAGCCTTTAAACTAGATGTAAAGGTTTATGCATTTAACAAGACATTTAATAAATGATAATCAGGGCTGGTGTAAAACATTCTCAGTGAGAATGAAACTGTGGTTGTGCAGCTGTCTGCATCCTCTCTGCTAAAAAAAATCCCTGATACGCCTAGAGTCCATATAATTAATGTAATATAAGTAGAAACTATATATTTATTCTGGCTCCATGGGTAAGTTGAGGGCTTCTAGTGGAGCCCGTCAGAAAAAATCTGCGGTTTTTCATTTAAATTAACAGCAGTAATGAAATAATGCCCTCAAGTCTCAAAACATCCTAGATTTGACAAACTGAACATTAGTCAATGATGTACAAAGGAAATACTTTGGTTTAGAAGGACTTAACGTGTGTTCAAACAACGCTAATCTGCGAACATGAAGTAGGCTACGACCTTCAGGTTTTTCACCCAATCAGGTAGATTTTCCGTCACCCATTCACACCCTGGTGGTGATGAGCTACACTGGAGCCACAGCTACCCTGGGGTTTGCTGAAAAAAAACCCCGGGGTCAAATACGGAAAATATCTTGACCCCTTAATCGACTTTAAATTTGAGCAAATAGTAGTGATAGCTAGCTAAATCTGTTATTATTTTGGGAATAAAAATAAGAGCAGCGCACTGCCTACCGAGGTTAGAAATACACCCTCACACATGATCTGGGTGAACGGGATCATTCGAATTGGGTACAGCTAACCTAAAGGAAGTCAGCACCTTGGACAGCTCCATGCTGGATGAGGCCTGCACAGCTGCGCTGAATGACCCTGGTGATGGCTAACGACGAGCTGCACCTTTTAAAAGCGGGACCCCTTTGTTTTTGTGGGTCCGGGTATTTGCTACCAAAGACCAAAATAAGTCGAGTTCACCTTTAATAACATCTCAAACTCCTCTCCTTATGTCACACCCTTCTGCATAGCACAGCCATCTTGGGGTCTTAATGTTCTCTGCAGTATCTTACTGAGCTGCTGCACTGAGGGTGGGACCATCAGTCATTGTTGAATGTTCAAGGATGTGCTCTTTCCATGAGTTAGATAACTTGCTTGATAAACTATAATATTATTATTGACAATAATAATATAGAACAATGTTCCCCAAAGAAGGGATACAAAACAACATGATTCTGTCTCTCAACACACCAAAGCTCAGTAAAGTGCTGGGTAGACTGAGGGAGATGGGTGTAATTTTTGGAGGGTCTTGATTCCTTTGTTCTACCATGTATGGCACACCCCATTCGAGTGTTATCCCATTGAATTGTTATTATCTTTGCCATCACCATTGAATGGGCCCAGACTGTCCCTTCTGTACCTTGTGGAAGGCCAGAAGGTTGTTATACCCCATCGTGTGTGTTTACATGTGCACTGACTCGCTTCTAAAACAGAAGTCTTTGTTTCCCCCAGAAGTTTGCTTCCCTTTTTTATTTAGATCATTGCTGCTGCAGTTTCATCCCTCTAGAAGAGCATTACAGGTGTGTGTGCTATAATTTAACACAATATATGTTAATGTTACTGCGGTAAGTTTCAGTTTAGTTTTGAAGTTTATATCATTTAATTCATGGCGTTATTCATAATTAAAATGCGTAAGGTTTGACTAACCAGGTAATACCACTCCTATTTAAAGGCTGGAGTATTATTTGTGTAGTTGTATATTTAATACTGAACTCCTTGTTATTTTAATCATTTTTCCCTTAACCAGTGTTAATAGGTTTGGGTGAATATAATACGAATTCAGCAGAAATTGAATGTGTAATCTGTGTTTTTACATGACATTAAACTGAAACATGAGGATTGAATTACATTAGTTTTTCTCAAATGCTAAAACAAATTTCACAAACATTTCCTCTATGTTCCCCAATTTCTAAACACAACACCCTTTTCTAAAACGACATGAACACAACCACACCTTCTCACTTCAAAACTCAAACTTTCACAACAAAATAGCAGCTCAAAGCTTTCAAAAATGTAAACACTATACACATCATTACACACTACAGCAAATCTGAAAACACAATGCTCAATTTGTGAGAAGGTTCTTTGTTTCATAACTGCCAATTTGCCCTTTTTTTTTTAGAAACTTTAGTTACGGATCTTCTTAGATCTCTGCAGAGGATTAGGCATTTAGATTTGTGAGTTTCATATGAAGAGTATAAATCTATAGAAAATTCTGCATGTACACTACTGTAACACAACTCATGCAAAAACAGAATCTATTGCACACAACAGTGTTCTTGAAAACATGAGCACACACACACACACACACACACACACACACACACACACACACACACACACACACACACACACGTCGCTGAGCTGCATCGGGCCACATCGCAGGCTATGTTGTCTCTTGCCAGGCACCGCGGGAAAATCGCCCTGGAATGGCGAATCCATCCTTGTAAGGCCTCCACTGGGATGTCACCACAGGCCAGCTCCATTACACTTAAGAGGTTCTTTCTAGTGTATCGTCTGTCATAAACCTTCCATCTCCACGACGAGAAGAACTCTATAGGGTTCAGGAAAGGAGAGTAGGGTGGCAGACAGACGTTTAAAAAGTGGTTACTGTTGGTGGTGAACCACTTTCTGATTTGGTTTGTTCTGTGGAAGCGGACATTGTCCCAAATGATCACATAAATGTGATGTGCGGGCCCAGGATGGTGTTGTTGGCGGTCCAGGAGGATGTCTTTTAGCTTCTCTAGGAAGGTGAGGAGATGTTGGGTGTTGAAAGACCCAAGGACAGCATGTCAGTGGACAAGCCCCTCCGAACCCATGGCCGCACAAAGAGTAATATTAACCCCCCGTTGGCCAGGAACCTCAGTGATGGCTCTTTGGCCAATGATGTTACGGCCTCTTTACCTTAGTTTCTGCAGGTTGAAGCCAGCCTCATCCAGGAAGAGGTACTCATGAGGTCTGGCCATCGTGTCCAACTGCAATATCCTCTGTGTAAATGTAAAAGTCCACAGGTATTCAGAACAACAGTCAATCAGGTAGCACAGTATTGTCCAAAACTAATGTAGGCCACTGAGCAACACAGTATATCCAACAACTGTACTGTGAACATGGATGTATACTTACTTGCACATACTCGTAACGTAGGTCTTTGTGTCACGCAGAGTTGCGCTCAGAGGGAACCCTATAGACCTGTTTCATCCGCATCTTTTGGTGCCGGAGAACTCGGTCTATTGTGGCCAAGCTGACATCAATGCTCTCAAAGTTGACATTATCGGATGACTTTCTCTGATCTCCCGGAGTCTGATGAGGTTGTTCTCACGAACCATATCCACAATGATGGTTTCTTGTGCCGCTGTAAATATGGCAACCCTCCCACCTCTATGTGGCATTCTTTCAACTCTAAAGAAAGAAACATGAGTTGTCAATTGACATGTTTTACAATAACAACTGATTTGAAACCAATGTACTACTTTCACAGGCTTGTAAAACTGTACTGTGACAAAGAAAGCAATAGAGTACAATACCTGTTGTGTTGTCTGAATGCCCTGATAATGGTGGCCACGGTGAACCTACTCAGGTTTGGACGGACTCTTAGTCCTGCTTCAGTCATTGTCATGCCATGGACAATGACATGGTCAATGACTGTTGCTCGCATCTCTTCCATAATGATGGTGCAAGGTTGTCTTGCTCTCCCTCCTGGACCTTCTCTCCCTTGTTGGCCTCCTCCTCTTCCTCCTCTGATTTGAACTCCTCTCCCTTGTTGGCCTCCTCCACTTCTTCCATGGCCAGCTCTTCTCCCTCCTCTGACTCGAATTCCTCTTCCCCTGACTTTGCCTTCATCCATTGTGTTTGTTTGGAAACTTCAGCAAACCGTGCACTCTGAACTTGCTTTTATACATGTGGTCACAGCATTAGCAACAAGTGTCTTCAATTTTGAGTCGCGTGTAATGAATGGCGACAGATGTGTTCATTGTGTTCAATTAGTGCTGACTGTGGCAAGCATTTGGCATCACATGAGCTTTCATTTGAGAATATGAGCAGAGTTCTTTTGCAACTTGTGTTTTAGCAAGGAAAAATGTGTTTAGATTTATGAGAACGGAGGATTGTGTTTTGTGAATTGTGTCTTCTTGTGAAATGCGTTTATGACGTTGGAAAATGATGGCTAGATTTATTAAATGTGTTTAGACAACTGGTCATTTGGTTTAGAGGATTGGCTTTTGTGTTTTAGCATTTGAGAAAAACTGTAATTAAGACCATGACTGTTTTATATATGTTTACCCTTGGGGTTATGTTAAAGTAGCTGCTGTAGTTAGTTGTTGCTTCATGGATTAAACTAGAGTCTCCTTGACTTGATACTTGTCTTCCTGATCCAGTCACGTTTAGTTAGTTGTCTTTCAGTTAGCATGTCTGTTTGGTTAGGGGTATTTAAGCTAGATTTTTCTCCACCCTCTTGTTATGTAGACTATTCACTGCTTTTCACCCTCCTGCTTTCTTCTCTCTCCTAGCATCATGTCCAAACTCAGGACCAGCATTTGCTGCAGGACACTCAGGATGAAATGAGACAGAAGACCATCGGTGGTGGTTCCTACCTAGTCCTACTGTCTCACATACTGTTTCGCACACCAGCCCTTCCTCTGGCTGAAACCACTGTGACTTTCTGCAGATGAAATGATTTATGTCACATAAATCTTCAGCTTCACACACAAACATCCGAATTATTTACTAAGAACATGGAGATGTGTGTGTCTGCAGCAGCTGTAAATGCAGCAAAATGTTTATCAAGAAAACACAGAAATTCTCTACACCTTCCAGAGCCCAAATAGTTATTCATGAGTCAGATAAATAAGCGTTATTCAGAATAATTAAAAGGTACTGGACAAAGAAAATTGAAGATGGAACTTCTTGGTAGATTGTGTATTGGAAGAGCGTTGAGAAGGTTCATGGATGAGGTGAAGAAGGGCATGCTGGGGGTCAGTATGACAGAGGAGGCTGGTATGGAGGCAGGTGATCCACTGTGGGAGGAACTGAAACAGGTTATTTTCATCAGGGGCCTCATTTATCAACCGTCCTTATGCACAGATCTGTACGTGTGTCGTGCATAGGAACAACTTTATACATTGTATGGTATTCATCATTTTGTACTTGTGTGTGGAAATTATCCTAATGAGAGAACCTCAGACTATGCGTAGGAACAGCATCTAGTGGTAGAACGGGGCAACCGCAATACTGAATGTCTCATTCACTCACATATGTTCTTCATCCATGAACTATTCTACCCAATAAACAATAATTTCAGTGTGAAAAAAAAGCTTTGTGTATAAATGGTGCTAAACCTAAAAGACAACCATGATTAACAGGAATCTGACATTGTAGCATGGCTGATCCTGTGTTATTGGAGGATTTGGCAGAGCGTGCACTCCGGAAGAAACGCGTCCTCTTTGAGTGCACTTATCTGATTGGTGAGAATCCAGAGTGGCTCTTGAGCAGATGCCGCTTCCTGAAGGAGATCCTTTTGGATCTATGCTGTGATTTGTGACCCTTTGTGGAGTGACAGTCCAATTGCACACAAATCCGATTCCAGTCCATATTCAATTATGGAAAACTACGAGCTTCTCCCCTCTACTCCCCAAACATACATGCATTGCCAAGGTAACCAAAATGAATGACAGCTCAGAGGAGGCTGCAGTGTAAACAAACATTTCCAAACAAAATAAACTCTAAACACACCCTCCCACTGTCCTAATGGGTGTGACCCCGCGAGGAAAGTTGACCATTGAGCAGGATTGATGGTTTATCCCTTGGGTCCATGTGGCAGGGGTGAGGAGCAGAGATAAGTAAAGAATTACATTTACTCGCATTACTGTAATTGAGTAGCTGTTTTGTATATTTATACTTTTTAAGTCGTTTTTAAAATCAGTACTTTTACTTTTACTTGAGTACGTTTTTAAAAAAGAATTGTAATTCGCTACATTTTAAATCATATCCGTTACTGAGTAAAAATAAATTGTAGGCTTAATAAATTAAAACATTACATGTAGCAGCACGACAAACAGCCATTTTTACCGCAGTTTTGCTCAAAACATCAGTTCAGTCCCTGTGATCCACTCGCTGTTTACCTCCTCTCTCCCTCCTCTCGTGGGTTGGAACCCCGCACCTTCGCACACCGGTGTGACGTCATCAGAATTCTGCTCGGTTCGGCAACCAGACTCGGTTCCGTGTTTGAAATGTGTTTCCCTGCCGCTCCGCACGGAAGCGGCAAAATAACATTTAGCGCTCATAACAAGCGGATTCTCAGCGCTCTGCTCATAAAACACAAGACCTGCAGGCCTCTGTGAGTTAAAACATCCTGATACTGTTCAGGTGTAAACATTGTGCTCCATCCCTGTGTTTGAACTCAGAAGATGCTTCTTTATGCCACAGATATGTGATGATTTAGCTTGTTTCTTTATTTTACTCCAGAATAAGAGATTAAATTATTACAAAAGCAGTTCAGTGTAGTTCAATTAGTCATTCACATGATTCTAACATGCTGCAGTGTGTGTGTGTGTGTGTGTGTGTGTGTGTGTTACACATATACAGTTGTGGTCAGAAGTTTACATACACTTGTAAAAATTATAATATAATGGCTCTACTGAGTGTCCCGTTATTTCTAAAACTGATTTTTCTCTGATAGAGTGATTGGAACAGATACTTCTTTGTCACAAAAAACATTCATGAAGTTTGGTTCTTTAATGTCTTTATTATGGGTTAACAGAGAAAAGGGATCACATTTGCTGGGTCACAAATATACATACAGCAGTGCTAATATTTGGTTACATGTCCCTTAGCCATTTTCACTTCAATTAGGCGCTTTTGGTAGCCATCCACAAGCTTCTGGCAAGCTTCTGGTTGAATCTTTGACCACTCCCCTTGACAGAATTGGTGAAGTTCAGTTAAATTTGATGGCTTTCTGACATGGACTTGTTTCTTCAGCACTGTCCACATGTTTTCAATGGGGTTTAAGTCAGGACTTTGGGAAGGCCATTCTAAAACCCTTATTCTAGCCTGATTTAGCCATTCCTTTACCACTTTTGATGTGTGTTTGGGGTCATTGTCCTGTTGGAACACCCAACTGCGCCCAAGACCCAACCTTCGTACTGATGATTTTAGGTTATGTTGAAGAATGTGAAGGTAATCCTCCTTCTTCATTATCCCATTTACTCTCTGTAAAGCACCAGTTCCATTGGCAGCAAAACAGCCCCACAGCATAATATTCCCACCACCATGCTTGACTGTAGGCATGGTGTTCTTGGGGTTAAAGGCCTCATCTTTTCTCCTCCAAACATATTGCTGGGCATTGTGGCCAAAAAGCTCGATTTTTGTTTCGTCTGACCACAGAACTTTCCTCCAGAAGGTCTTATCTTTGTCCATGTGATCAGCAGCAAACTTCAGTCGAGCCTTAAGGTGCCGCTTTTGGAGCAAGGGCTTCCTTCTTGCACGGCAGCCTCTCAGTCCATGGAGATGCAAAACACGTTTGACTGTGGACAATGACACCTGTGTTCCAGCAGCTTCTAATTCTTGGCAGATCTGCTTTTTGGTGATTCTTGGTTCACTCTTTACCCTCCTGACCAATTTTCTCTCAGCAGCAGGTGATAGCTTGCGTTTTCTTCCTGATCTTGGCAGTGATGAAACAGTGCCATGCACCTTATACTTACAAACAGTTGTTTGCACTGTTGCTCTTGGGACCTGCAGCTGCTTTGAAATGGCCCCAAGTGACTTTCCTGACTTGTTCAAGTCAATAATTCGCCTTTTCAGATCCATGCTGAGCTCCTTTGACTTTCCCATTGTAGCGTTTGTGGGCGTTTGTATCCAATGAGCCCTATTTACCTGACCTAAGAGAAGTCACCAGCTGTAGTCACTCATAATCACTCACAAGAAGTTAAGAGGCCATGCTATGAAGCTCAGTTCACTGACACATTTCTAAGTCACCAAAATTGCTAGATCATGTTGCTGTATGAATATTTGTGTAGCACCCATGAAATGGATTGCCACATTTAAATCTTGATCATATATATATATATATATATATATATATATATATATATATATATATATATATATTATTTTATTTGTCTTTTAAACGCTTATGTTTTATTTATGGACACATTAAGTCAGAGCGGAACCTTTGTTTATGGATTTGTTGTTCCGGGGACTGATAAAGGGATGCCTGCGCCTGACGTTTCCTCAGACGTGAACTGGAAGGAAAAGAGAGGCATCCTGTCTTCAGTGCTCTGCTTTTGCCTGCTTTATACAGGTCAGAAAATGTGAATAAACTCTTAAAAGTTGTTTTATTAAGCTGGTAGCAATATATATATGTCAGTGCCACGTTGTTATGCTTTAGTTAAATTGAACAAAATACTGTTTAATATGTAACGGTTTCACTCGTGGCAGCCATCTTAGGTCAAACGGCCAGTAAACTCAAGAGCATCTGGCTGCAGACATCAGCTGGCGTCTTTGCCGTGACAGGAAATGACGTATCCGGAAAAATGAGTGCCATTACCTTTGCCGGAAGTAGTTTTTTTCGGAAGTCATTACCTTTGACGGAAGTAGTTTTTTTTTCTTGAATACGCTTTATTGACAAAGCACAAAAGTAGTTTGAATTTGTCAAAACCATACCGTGTCGTTTTTCTCTTCGATTTGTACACATTTAAGAGAAAAATTACACAGTGGGTCATTACCTTAACCAGAAGTCATTACTTTCACTGGAAGTAGTTTTTTAAAAAACAAAACTTACCGGAAAAAGATTTTTATTTCGGATTTTTTTTTCTTTTCAGATCTGGACTGGCAAACTTAAGTAACGTTACCTGCGTTGCATGAAAATTGAATATTAAATCCCTTTGTCCTTCAGACAGGGAATTTTTATGACAGTAGCACATACATACATATATATATGTATGTATACATATATATACATATATATATATATATTTATATACATATATGTATATATACACACACACAATAAAAGGCTGTAAAGTGAATTAAAAAAACATATGGAAAAAATGAGAACACATTAAACTAAGACTTCAAAATGTGCAAACAAAATAGTACTGGCTAAATATTCAGTTTTATTGTTAAGCCCAAGATGAACTTTTGACCTACACCAATTGCTAAAGTACAGGACTCCCAGAAGCAGTGAAAAACATTTCAGCAACACTCCTCTCTCACCAGCAACAAAAATTTGTTATTAAATATCATAACACTGTCCTATTGTGTATCACAGCAGCTCATTGCAACAGAATTTAACTACTACAGCTGATAACTATTTAGCTAGTTGGTATTTATTTTGAGTGAAAGACAATAAAACCAAAGAAACACTTAATTTCACAACCATTTTATTTTGGGTACAAATGAATTTGCTGAAGCATGGCTTTCTCAGCTGCATATCGATTCATCCTCTCCCATTTTTCCAACACTTTTATTGTTACCTGAAAAACATGCAGGATTACTTCATCGTTGTCGTCTTCCTCTGCTTATCCGGGTCCGGGTCGCGGGGACAGCATCCCAACTAGGGAGCTCCAGACCGTCCTCTCCCCGGCCACCTCCACCAGCTCCTCCGGCAGGACCCCAAGGTGTTCCCGGACCAGAGTGGAGATGTAACCTCTCCAACGTGTCCTGGGTCGACCCGGGGCCTCCTGCCGGCAGGACCTGCCCGAAACACCTCCCCGGGGAGGCGTCCAGGAGGCATCCTGACCAGATGCCCAAACCACCTCATCTGACTCCTTTCGATCCAGAGGAGCAGTGGTTCTACTCTGAGTCCCTCCCGGATGTCCGAGCTCCTCACCCTATCTCTAAGGCTGAGCCCGGCCACCCTACGGAGGAAACTCATTTTAGCCGCTTGTATCCGCGGTCTCGTTCTTTCGGTCATTACCCAAAGCTCATGACCATAGGTGAGGATTGGAACGTAGATCGACCGGTAAATCGAGAGCCTGGCTTTCTGGCTCAGCTCCCTCTTCACCACGACAGATCGGCTCAGCGTCCGCATCACTGCAGATGCTGAACCAATCCGCCTGTCGATCTCCCGATCCCTCCTACCCTCACTCGTGAACAAGACCCTGAGATACTTAAACTTCTCCACTTGAGGTAGGACCTCTCCCCCGACCCGGAGTTGGCAAGCCACCCTTTTCCGGTCGAGAACCATGGATTTGGAGGTGCTGATCCTCATCCCAGCCACTTCACACTCGGCCGCGAACCTACCCAGCAAGAGCTGAAGGTCAGAGCTGGGTGAAGCTAGGAGGACCACATCATCCGCAAAAAGCAGAGACGAGATTCTCCTGCCACCAAACTCTGTTAAGGATTACTTCATACACTGTCAAATGTTTTCGAAAAGTAACTTTTATACCAATCACTGCTGAAGACTGCGTTGTACCTCTGGAACAAGGACATCAAACACCAAGTCCAGAAACTGGAACTCTCTCTTCTTTATTAGTTTATCTATTCCTGAGCATGAACCAATCCGCTCTTTCAGCTCGTCAACCTATAAAACACGTTAACATAAAAATGAACAAAACATTCCTCTCAGCATTAGACAACGGACCCAGGTGGCCCACTGACCACGCATCCACATAAATAAATGTGATGCAGGTTATTGTAAGTCAGTATACATTTACCTGTGCATCAGCAAAGTGGAACATCAGTGGCTTTAGTCTTTGCTTTAATTTAAGCGAGACACTTGGATTGTGCCACAGATACATGAGGCCAGACTTCACTCCACCGCTGCAGACAGTCTGAGTAGAGACAAGTAGGGCTGCAACAACGAATCGATGAATTCGATGAAAATCGATTACTAAAAGCGTTGGCAACGAATTGCGTCATCGATTCGTTGTGTCGCACAACTCTTCCAAAAGCGCCCCCCCCCCCCCCCCCCCTTCCCGCCCACCGTTGCGCGCAGACCAGAGCAAGTCAGATCAGCTCGAGGGAGAGCCGCAGATCAGCTCGAGGGAGAGCCGGTACAGGCAGATCAGCGCGAGGGAGAGCCTGCAGACTTGCGCTGCTGCGAACCGGTTCCACATTGTTGCACAGCGATCCAGGCAGCTGCTTCCAGCGCACGGTCCATTCTCAAAGTGGCGCAACCAAAAAACTATAATTAACACACGATCGTTCTTGTCTGCACATGTTCTCTATTTTCTGTCTTATTTGTGCCTGAAGCGCTCTGCTGCGGAGCTCATCACCTGTGCTGTGGTGATTTCACCTCACGCAGCATCGAAAACTCGCTCTCCGCTTTGCGGTCAGGAGATCTCTTTGATCTGCTCAAAAGTAACTGATGAGGTGAAAAAGTAAGAATCCAGGCAACAGATTTTCTGGAGAATTATGAGGAGATGCAGGAAGATGAGAGACAGACAGGACAGGAAAATAGTTAAATAAAAACAAGAAAACAAAGTAAAATGTAGGTAGATTTATCTCCACTACACGTTTTTACCAGTAAAAAACAATAAGTTATACACATGTCATAGTTATACATCTGATACAATTCAGATCACCTTCAAAACTCAGTCACACACCCAGGGCCGTTTCAAGACATTTTGGGGGCCAAGGCAAAATGTCCCCCCCCCCCCCCCCCCACCCCCCCACCCCCCATAACTGGGCTCCCCAGAAGCCTCTGTGTAATTCATGCCCTCTCCAGGAGTGTTAGTTATACAGTGTTTGTAAAAACCCCTCAGACATTACTGACATGTTCTAATATTATCAGATGAAAAACTAAATTATCAGACATGCTGTCTCATCTGCTTCTTTTCTAAACTTGCAAAAAGTAACAAAACCATTTGAAAGCCACTATTTGTGGATTATCTGAAAGTTTCCATGGAGTGTGTGACAACTTATTTTTTTCATTGATCCTATCGTCTAATCTCACAGCTGAAACAAGCATCCTTAATAATCTGTAAACAGGAAGCTTACCGATGCTGTAGTAAAACAAAAGGTATAATAATTTATTATTAATAAAACCTTGTTGCAGCACTAAAGCAGAAAAATTAGATTTTGCATTAAATATGCAAAATATTTACATATGAATTGTTTTAGAGCCCTTTTATTGGCAGATTCTGATATTAATTTAGTTCTTACAAAAAATGGGTCCCAACATGGTTTGTGTGGCGTTGCCTTAGTGTGACGTCATAGGCACAGATCCCCTGTCCTCTTGTTTGGAAATGGAAATATGATCACCCTACATTAAACAAACTGTCCACCCGGGCTTTTGCACTGCACAGAGACGCTTCGCTGCCTATGACTTCGAATGTCAGTTGAGAGTCAGTCTCATGCAGACTGACCAATGAAGAGAGGGCCTCAAGTTAAGACCCTCTCCTCATTGGTCAGTCCACACGAGGTGGGTCAAAGGTTACTCTGGGCGGGTTACGTGTTGTCAGGCATTCAAGTATTGAGTATATTTACTGCATATTACAGTAAAATATTCTGTATGTGACCACATTATGGTGATCCTCGGGTCGTGATGATGGAGCCCTTGAATATTGTTGCCCAGGGTACAACAAAGTGTTAATCTGGCCCTGGTTCCGCCGTCACATTCCCGCAGAAACTGGTTGATCACACCGGGGCCAGACTACTAGCATGTGGTTTTACAACCACAATGTCCTCGGAAGCAAAAACGCTTTTAAAAGGGAGGGAGGAGTCCTAACTGTTGCTGCAGGCGTGTTGTGTGAGAGTGCAGTTATATACTGGTTAATAAATTTTTGGGTTCAGTTGCTTTCATGTGGCCTAATGTGAGTCTATTTGGGATCATTGGAATGATCAGCAGCATTTCTTGATGTGACTTTATGGCAGTTGCCCAGGGCATCATCGCAAGGAGAATGGCATTCATTTACTTTTGTTTTATTTGGTATTTTTTCAGTCATTTTTGGAAATAGTGATCAATTTTGATTAATTCACAGCCTATGTTTAATTACATTTAAAATAAATGTCAACAGATGAGATCAAACAAAACAGATGAGAATTGCCCTTAAGCTGTTTAACTTGGACCAAGCATTTTAGGTCACAGATAGATGTAGCTTAGGGTCTCTGTCTATACACCTTATAAGACAATTTAGGTGATGGCATGTTGTTTTTCTGCTATTGAACTGTTTTCTAATAATGTTGTGTTAAATAAAGTGAAGGAAGGAGAGAAATAACGTTTCCCTAGCAGTTTTTAAAAATTTCCCCATGTAATCCGATTAATCGATTAATCGTGTCGAGACCCCATCCGATTAATCGATTATCCAAATAATCGTTTGTTGCAGCCCTAGAGACAAGAGTTAAAAATAAGCAACATTACCACAGAAAACAAGGGATTGCATTATCCTATGTCCAATTTTAGAGTCTTAATTTATTATAATTAAACATTACCTTGATTTCACCATCTGAAATCACTGCCTGGGTTCCATTTTTCAAAGCCTCGATTGTCCTGGAATTTAGATAAAAATACATCTTATTAGCAAATGAAGAATACAAGCACACGTAAGAAGTTTTGTCAGTGTCACTTGAAGAAGTCCGATATTCATTTTAGATCTATATTTAAGGCCTCTAACTCCTGAATGATTTGCAGCTACATGTGCTTAAATCCGGTAATATTAATATAAACCAAACCCGATCAAAGCAGTCAGTCGACAAAAATATCTATTTTTTTATAAGGTTAGGATTATTCTGAAACAGAATCAGAAGGAGGGCGGCATTAATTAGAGAAGCGGCTACTATTTCAAAGTTATTGTACCTGTTGCAGGACACCTGATTTGTGCAACCACAGTAGAATGACCCAGCACACCACACACAATAACTGAAAAATATTGAGAGATATTGAAAGCTAAGCTTGTCCAGAAAATACATTTTATTTCTGGGTGCACAGGACCAGTTCCAGTGTGGGCCAGATGCTGAAAAATAAATTCATAAATATGTCTTTTTTGAAGTTCCACAAATCAGAGGAAGGTTTCACAAATCACAAACTATGTTTTATGCATTCCTACGAGCCCAGAATAATCTAAAACAGGTTTGAAGAGTGTATGTGTTGTAGGTTTTGAGCTAGAGCAGAATAAAAATGGTCAGAGTAGAGAAAAATTGGGTGTATTAGCCCTTTAGCCATTTCCCGAATCGGAAGCTAACTTTAGCCTCGTATGAAAACTAGTGATTGAAACCACTTACAAATCTCTGAAAATCTACGCTTTTTAATTAAAAAAAGGGTATTAATAACGTTTCAGTCAAGTCAGTATTAGAAATCGTGGTCTTTATATCATATCTAAATTATATATAAAGTTAATATTATTACTTTAACTGTTTTAACAAACAGGGAGACCAGAAAAATCAAATAGCTAAGTTAAAGCTAAGCTACAATTGCTGATAGCTTTATTTATGTATCTTTTATGTTAGCTAGCTTGTGAACTCCCTGCATTCGTTTTAAGACTGCAGTTAATATTGATACAATTAGCTATGAAACACGTGCCTTTGCAATAATTCTCTGGTAAAGCTTTAAACGCTATAGTGCCTACATTTAAGAACTAAGAACGGTTGCAACAATTAGTTAATTTCATCCTTATCTTTCTTTCTTTATTATCCTTAACTTTCCTCAATTGAAACCCGCCGAGTATGGTTGAAACAAAAACAACGTATCGGCCGCCAAAAAAGGACCAACTTCCTGCCGATGTCTTTCGCTCGTCGATTTTCCGGTAAATGTAATGACACGCCATCTTGCTCTCGACACACCAGCTGATGTCTGCAGCCAGGTCCTACTCGCTGTTACCGTGGCAACGGTTTTCCGTGTGTCCGCTATTATGCTGAAACGGGAGTCTCAGCGCTATTAAAAAGGAGTATGATTGTATTTGGCGAACTTTTTCTACTGTATTACAGACAGTGACAAGAAAAGAGTGTGTTTTATAAGAATAGTTTAACTGAGTGGCAAAGTTCAAATGTTTAACCCTGTTAATAATTTCCTGTTTTGATGTTTGTAAGATCATATAGCACATGGACATTTTATCAATTTATTTCAGTAGTCTGTTTTACACAGAGCATGGTTGATTGGTAACATTTGATTGCAGATAGCACGCTATGATTGAATTCAGTGATACACTGTAAAAAAGAACCTCAATATGAACTATTGGCAGAGAGTGATTGTTTAAAGTAATCAACAATAGAAATGTGTTTGTCACCTAAAATGAAATATACGTTCTGACTAGAATGCTGTGAGAAGCAACTTGAGGGGTGATGTAAGTTGTTTGTTTGGAGTGAAATTATAAGGAACTGAAATGGAGTAACAGAAATGAACCGTGTGACTATAATTTCATGAGTTTGTAAAATAAATGAGACGTGAACTGGAAGGAAAAGAGAGGCATCCTGTCTTCAGTACTCTGCTTTTGCCTGCTTTATACAGGTAACCTACTTGTGACGGCAGTTACCACTCCTGGGACCCGTTACATTTGTGACCCAGGAAATGTGATCACTTTTCTCTGTTAACCCATAATAAAGACATTAAAGAACCAAACTTCATGAATGTTTTTTGTGACAAAGAAGTATCTGTTCCAATCACTCTATCAGAGAAAAATCTGAGTTTTAGAAATAACGGGACACTCAGTAGAGCCATTATATTATATTTTTTACAAGTGTATGTGAACTTCTGACCACAACTGTAGGACTGCATGAGACAGCATGGTTTCATCAAATCCATGCATCCTATATCTTGGCTGAAGTAATGGCTCAGGAAAATAACTTATATTTCATAAATAATGACGTATCTGCAGTGTTTATGATAATGTTTTATCTTATATTGTACCTATCTTTAGTCTGGGAGGCAGGGCTGTGCAGAGACCTTTGAAGGGGCGGGTGCTCAAGTTTAAAAAGGGGCACACAGAATAATATTTTCAAACACCATGACATAACCACAGTATACCCGGCTGAATAACAAATCATATTTATTAGAAATTCAAAATGGAAGCAAATCATTATATGCATCCTTACCACATAAGGACAATGTAAAGCAAAAGTAACTTGTTTTGGTAAATGGTCTGTATTTGTATAATGCCTTCTTAGGGTTCTACAACCCCCCAAGGCACATTACAACACAATCAGTCATTCACACACACATTAACACACTGATGGTGATGAGCTATGATGTAGCCATAGCTGCTCTGGAGCGCACTGACAGGTGAAGCTGCTGAGCACAGGCGCCACCAGTCCCTCCGACCACCACCAGCAGGCAAAGCAGGTTAAGTGTCTTGCCCAAGGACACAACAGCATCAATCTCTGATTAAAGTCAGGCTCAAACCTGCAACCTTCTGATTACTGGACAACCTGCTCCACCTCCTGATCTATTGCTGTCCTATTTTACCTGATGATGTGGTACAATTAGGGCTGGGCGATATGACGATTTTAGACTGTTTTACGATCTACACATCTGACGGTCTGTCATTTTTGAGAGACCTTTATATCACGATTCACAGCTCTGCTGTTGAATTTCTGCCTCTGAATGAAAAGGGAACTTACCTCAGGCGAAGGACACGCCTTTGTTTGACCCTTAACCAATCAGAGTGAGTCATAGTAATATATTAGTGCCCCACTTGTTTTCACCTGTGTGTGAACAAACATGGCTTCGGCCGCGGCTGAGAGCGACAACGAAGTTTTCGTTCCATTATATGGAACTGGTTTGGTTTTTCACCAGATGACAAAGAGCAGCGAAACGTCATTTGCAAAGTTTGCAAGGAGTGCGTCAAGGCAAGTGATGGCAACACCACAAACTTGTTTAATCACTTGAAAAGAAGGCATCCCAAACAATACAATGAGAGCCAGCTGACAGCTAAAGCTAAAAAGCCTGTGGCTGCAGCGGCACCAGCTAGTGCTTCTTCCAGGCAGCAAACGCTAACAGAAACACTCACAAAACTCACTCCTTACGACAGAGACAGCAGAAGATGGAACAGCGTGACAGATGCAGTGACGTACCACTTGGTTAAAGATTTGTGTCCCATGCGAACAGTAGGATTGGGATTTAAGAAAATGATAAAAACATTTGATCCGCGCTACGAGTTTTCCAGCCGCAAGTATTTTTGAACACCGCCATTCCACGCATGTACGCTGAAAGCAAAGTGAGAGTTGCAGAAAATATTCAGAATTCGTAGTTATTTGCTACCACAAGCGATCTCTGGTCCAGCCGCACATCAGAGCCGTATTTGAGCTTAACTATCCACTACATGAGCAACTGGGAGCTACATAGTATTTTGAACAAGTTAATGTTTGCACAATACGTTTGCAATTGACATGTTTGCACTTAAAATACGTTTACGATTTTAATTTATGTTAAGTTACTTGAAAAACGAGAAACTGATTTTTGTAATTGTTTCTCTCAGGGCTTTTATCATCTCTGGTGTGAGTTTAAAATATAAGTGTGTTAGCACTGTGTTGATTATCCCTAATATGAATAAATGTTTATTTATTCAATGTTTCTCTTCTTTAATACGCAATTGAAGTTATGCTATTCATGGATAAAAAATCGTGATAAAATCGAAATCGTGATAAAATATTGGAAAAATCGTGATATTCTATTTTTGCCATATCGCCCAGCCCTAGGTACAATGTAGCTGTTGCAGGGTTGCTCCTCTTGCTGCTGCTGATGATGCTGGAGGGCAAGGCTGTGTTGATCTCAGACTGTAGGTAGTAAAACGAACAGAGGAGAAATGTTAGTCAATTACAAAATTATTGTAAGATAATAAAAAATGGCAAAAATTGGTGAAAACTTTAGAACTGTAAGACAGAAATATCTGAGACAACACCTGTGGTAAATAAATGGAAATCTAAACATTGGTGGATAATAGAGGAGTTTATGTCAGAGATAAGAATGTGACAGAAATATAAACAGAAAGAGTTGTGTGTGTGTGTGTGTGTGTGTGTGTGTGTGTGTGTGTGTGTGTGTGTGTGTGTGTGTGTGTCTTCAATCTCCTCAAGTGATCTGTCACTCTCCACCTGCTGTCCATCTGAGAACAAGGCAAAATTAGCTATTGTATGAATGAATTATGTAGTTATTCACATTTATCAGATCTTGCACCTAATCCATGATCAAGTAGCTAACAAAAAAACTTTTTCTGGCATCAAAACATTGCAGTTGTGTATATTATTGTCTCTACACTTGTTGCTGTGATGCAACTTACCTGTACTCTTTTTTTTATCCAGCTGGTGAGGGACCCACTGCTTTTAGCTGCCTCATGTAGCTCTTTCTGTTGCTGCTTCTGCCTCCTCTCCTTACGAGGCATGTCTGTACAAAGATATATCATAATTAATTTACAAATATTTTTTCATGCATATAAAACTCATGCATACACATACTGGTACTTTTCATTCCTTTTCCAGAAAACTAACTGTATATAATTTGGCCCAAATTTGTTTCATGATGCTGATCCAGAATATTTCCATACTATTTTAATCATAGTGCTTTAGTAATTATAATAAAAATAAAGAATAAAACAATGTTTATGCTTTCATTCAGTTTTACTATCTACTTTGTGCAAAACAGAGAACTGTACAGATAAAATAATTTTGCTGTGAAAACAGTAGTTTTTTAAATGTACATCTTTAAAACATAATGCTTTTTAAAACAATACATTCAAAAAGAGAGCAAATATAAACTCCAAAATGTTGAGAATATGCATAGTATTAGTGAACTAAAAAACCCACCAGAAGGGCTGAGAAACCTTAAAATCTAAAACAAAACTATGTTCCCTAAAACGCTGGACAGAGTTTACAGACAAGGACTGAATATTTTGTAACACAAAACTTGTGGCGGATGTTACCTTTAGTATTTTTCTTATTTCCTTTCACAAAAGGTAGCTAAATTTTAAATTTGTTCAAGTTTTATCAGACTGCGAACCAGGAAGTGATTCTGTAAACAAGAAGCAGGGCTGTGTGAGACCCCAGTCAAGTGACACGCAGCAGCAATAGGAATGCAACTTTGCGGTACCTAGTTAACAACAACGACATTTTATTGGAAAATTCCCAATATTTAAGATTGGAAAAATATTTTCGTACAAGTACTTATGTACAGAACGTTTTAGGTTAATCCTAAAGCTACTGAGGTTCAGAATCGGTACCCAGCCACAGACACACCCAGCTAGTAATATATCACACACACCTAGTGCCACAAAACAACTTAATAATGTACAAAATAATCTAATAACTGTGTATTGTAGTGTGCATCCTACTTACCGGTTAGTCCGTTTCTCCCAATCAATATGTATGTCCTAAAAGCTCTGCACCTCTCGCTCGGCCATGAAGAAAATGTGGGTACTCGCAGCTTGTTGTAACCGGCTGTGCGCTCTGGCGTGAGGAAGAGACGGTGTCAGTACAGGATCTGCTCGGGTGCAAGATCGGCTCGGGGTCCTTCGACTGCCGATGACGTCAAAGTACGGCAGACCACTCGGACAAAATACACTACACATCTATACTGTTGGAAAGAATTTAGCAGTTTCGTTATTAAAATAATGTTTCTTACGACGTAAGTTTGTGTTTATAATGGTATTTGTAAAATAAAACACTATGTTGTATTCATAATGTTGAACTCCTCTTTGAGCACATCCCTTGAAGGATCATAGGTATTAGCAAAACCTGTGAAATTGCATTTGCAGGAAAGAAGTGTGTCCCGTTTATTGAAGTATTTTGTGTTTAGTTTTTGACGTCTTTTCTATGCGTAGTTCAGGTACGCTCATAGCTGCTAGCCAAAACTCTGGAGTTAAAAGTTTTCTGGCTTTACTAAAATACCTGTCTGTACTTATATGATTGATGGTAGTTTTACTTTCTATTAGACTCCAAATGTAATCATTTGGCACGTTTCTAATTCATAATTTGTAAGAATGTAATTGGTGATATTAGCATTAGCATTCCTATGGGTTTTTCCACGTATATTAGCATTGCGCTAACCACTCGCTGCCAAATTGCAGCCTTTGCGATTAGAAAATCTTTTGTCACATCGCAATTTAATTGCACATGCAGTTAATCGTTCAGCTCTAATATACATGCAGCTCTATGCTAAAAGTGTATTTTCAAAGAGGTAATGATGGATTTCTTTGTAAAAGCTGTCCATCTTTCCAACAGAAAAATTTGCCTGGACCAACGTAACGTGATAACAACGTAAAATGATTACGCAGTTCTGTAAGGTTCATGTTCAGCCAATCAACTACTTTGACGTCACCGGCAGTCGACGGACCCCGAGCCGATCTTGCACCCGAGCAGATCTTGTACCAACAACGGTATGGTCACGTGACTCACGCCAGCTATATAACTTTATTAAACAGAAATTTGATTAATTATTATTTTTGTTATTGTTGAGGGGGCACAAACAGAAAATTCTTAAAAAAAAATTTAAATTAAAAAATTTAAATAAATATAAAAAAATCATTAAACCTCAAAAAGGGCACTTTGGGCACATAGGACAAAAGGGGCAGGGTCTCAAGCACCCCCCCCCCCCCCCCCCCCCTCTGCACGTACCTGCTGGGAGGTGTAACATATCATGATACAAGCCTTTTAAAACCTGTTAAAGTGTTACAAGAGGAGATAAAAGCATGAATTTATAGTTCATGTTTGGAGACTAACCTTCACAGTTTGGAGGCTCACGCTGGTGAGGAGACACTGTTAGTTCTAGTAACACCTGGGCTCCCAAGGCCTATTCTGACAGGACGGACGTTACGGGACCCTTAAGGATTCCAGTTGGATGATTGGAGGAGTATTTAGGAGGGTTGGAATGAACAAACTGATTTCAGTGGTGAAGGGTTAAAGGTATTGTCTCGGCATTAAAATTGTAGAAATGCAAAATAACTACACTTTACCATCTATATAAACATTTACTGGGTTCAGTTTTTATTTTGTTATGGACTTTTGTCAAAGATCATTACAGAAAATCCAAATCCTCTCCTCCAGACAGTGAAGAACTGTGTTTCACAAACGTCACTCCAGCACGTAAGACAAGGTAGCTGCTGATGCTAGTATTGTGAATCACTGTTATTTGTGTTGAGGGTCTGCCCTCGTGAGAAATTGCTGCAGTAATTTTCTCCAAAAGACTGTGCTAAATTGTTCTGAAAAAGCAGATAAGTTCCAGTGCCAAGACACTTCATTTCCCATGATGTTTTGTTCCCAGAAGCAATGTGATGACGTCACCGCCAAGGCGGAGCACGGGTTCTGTACATGCGCAGAACCCACAACAGTCAGCCCGCGAACCGCCAGAGTCTATAAAAGGGAGACAAAAGTGAAACTTCTCGTCTTTGTCCAGAGTTCTACTGGCCGTGAAGACGCAATATTCCGCTAAAGCTCTGGACCGCATGTGCACAGGCTGAACGGCTTGAAGTGGATGACACCGCTCCGTGGGAAAACAGCAGAAAAGCCATCAAACGACTAGAGCCCGGATGACGAGAGGACGCCTTTGCTTTGGAACAGCTGTTTGCTCCTGCATGTTTTAATTTTATTGTTTTAACTTATTTCTTCTTCCGTTTCTTCTAGACCAAAATAAGCGGTCGTAGCGCGTGACCGTTTCAAAATACCAACGGCTTTTTCTCTATCTCCGGACCAAAAACGCCACCCGGATTACCGTGAAGTAAGGTCGTTTCTTTTATTAATATCTATGTGTTAAAAGCTGTGGCCACAGCTTCACACAGATCATTAGATAATGCCTGGGAGTGACCTTTCCTTTTGTGTGTCTCTTGATATTGTTTTTCTGAGTTTTGTGAAGGAAGTTAGTATTTGTAAGTCACTAACTGTTTGGGAAAGTTGAAGAAACTTTACACATCCAGGTTCTCACTGTGGAATGCGAGAGGGAGGGGAAAGTCCCCCTCTCACACACACACACACACACACACACACACACACACACACACACACACACACACACACACACACACACACTCTCAGCAGAACAAAGGATCCCTTTGTCAGGTTCGTTGGCAGATCTGAAGCGTGACTGAGAGTTCTGTTGCCCAGACGCGGAGAGACGGAGATAGCCGGTGTGGTTATCTCCTGTAGGTGTAGTTTGAGTGTTTTGAGGGCTGGTAAGCCTGGAGACTCGATACAAAGTCTGGTGAGAAACGATGACTGAGCAATGAATGAAACGCCGGCACTTCCTTAAGTAGTGCCGGCGTGATGACGTCAGTCGCCACGTTGGTGGCAGGAATGAATGGAATGCAGTCAGCTGGAGGAGTTCGTGACAGGACCCCCCCCTCGAGGGACGGCTCCCGAAGTCCCAGGACGGCGGGCCCAGAAGTCAGTCAGCAGGGTAGGGTCGACAAACGAGCTCGTGGGCTCCCAAGAGCGTTCCTCAGGCCCGTACCCCTCCCAATCCACGAGGTACTGCCAACCTCGTCCCCGGCGGCGAGCGTCCAGAATCCTGCGGACCGTGTAGGTGCGATCCGCCTCAACACCGCGGGGCGGAGGCACCCGGACCGGTGGAGGGTGGAGAGGAGAGGAGATCACCGGCTTAAGCTGGGAGACGTGAAAGACCGGGTGGATCCGGAGAGTAGCCGGGAGGCGCAGACGGCAGGTGACAGGATTGATGACCTTAAGGACGGGGAACGGACCCAGGAAGCGAGGAGTGAGCTTCCGGGAGCCAGCCGGCATCCTCAGGTTAGCGGAGGAGAGCCACACCTGGTCGCCAGACCGGAAGACGGGGCCAGGCCGGTGGCGGCGGCGATGCTGACGGGCATACTCCGTGTTGGCCCGGGTGATGGCCGCACGGGCCCGGATCCAGGCGAGCCGACAGCGGCGGACCAGCGTCTGGGCAGCAGGGACCTCCACCTCGGGCACCTGATGATCAAACAGAGGTGGCTGATAACCGTAACAGGTCTCGAAGGGAGACAGACTCGTGGCCGAGGAGGTCTGGAGGTTGTGTGACAGCTCCGCCCACAGGAGAAAGCGGGGCCAGGTGGTCGGCTGGGACGAAGCGAAGCAGCGCAGGTAGCGTCCAAGCTGCTGGTTAGCTCTCTCTGTTTGACCGTTCGTCTGCGGATGGTATCCAGAGGACAGACTGGTGGAAGCACCGACCAGGCGACAGAACGCTTTCCAGAAGCGTGAGACGAACTGGGGTCCTCGGTCGGAAACCACGTCCTGAGGGAAACCATGGAGCCGCACCACCTGTTCCAGGAGCAGTTCGGCCGTCCTCTTGGCCGTGGGGAGGCCGGCCAGGGCCACTAAGTGCACGGCCTTGGAGAAACGGTCCGTGATAGTCAATATAGTGTCCAGGTGGTCGACCGCCGGCAGTCCCGTGACAAAGTCCAGCCCGATGTGTGACCACGGCCGCTTGGGCACAGGGAGAGGCTGCAACTCTCCAGCGCCGGGTCGGTTGGAGGACTTGGATCGAGCACACACATCACATGCAGCTGTGAACTCGCGGACGTCCCTCCTCATGGACGGCCACCAGAGAGCCCGACGGAGGAACTGGAGGGTACGGGCTTGCCCTTGATGTCCCGCGAGCCGTGAACAGTGCCCCCACGTGAGCGCCTCTTGCCGGCAGGAGGCGGGAACGTAGAGGCGGTTCGGTGGGGTCTCCAGCGGCGCTGGATCGCCAGGAAGTGCCGCCTGTATGGACTGCTCCAACGGCCATTGGAGGGAGGCCAGGAAGCGTTGAGCCGGTAGAATGGTCCGAGGCTCCGGGGGGCCGGCATCTGGTGCGAAACGCCGAGAGAGAGCGTCCGCCTTGAGGTTCTTGGAGCCGGGCCGGTAGGCGATATGGAAGTGGTACGGCTCGAAAAAGAGGGCCCACCGAGCCTGGCGAGGGTTGAGCTGGCGGGCAGTCTGTAGATGAATGAGATTCTGGTGGTCGGTCCAGATCAGAAAGGGATCGGTGGTCCCCAGGAGCCACTGCCTCCATTCCTCCAGCGCCCACTTTATTGCCAGCAGCTCTCTGTCGCCAACCCCGTAGTTCTGCTGTGTGGGGGAGAACTTCCGGGAGAAGTAGGCACATGGGTGGAGCTTAGAGTCTGGACCCCGTTGCGAGAGAACGGCCCCCGCTCCCACATCCGAGGCGTCCACCTCCACGACGAAGGGCCGGGTCTGGTCCGGGTGGAGGAGGATGGGTTCCTTAGTGAAACGTCCGACCAGCTCATGGAAAGCACTGACAGCCTCTGGACTAAGGCGAAAAGGGCGAGGCTGATTGGTGGTTTTGGTGAGTGAGGTCAGAGGTGCTGCGAGGGAACTGAAGTTGCGTATAAACCTCCGGTAAAAGTTCGAGAAACCCAGGAAGCTTTGCAGCTGCTTCAGGGTCGTGGGTAGAGGCCACTGAGCTACGGCCTGAACCTTCTGGGGGTCCATCTTCAGGCCCTGGGAGGAGATGGTAAAACCCAGGAAGGAGGTGGACTCCTGGTGAAACGCACACTTCTCCAGTTTGCAGTATAGTCCATGATCCAGGAGGCGGGACAGAACAGCTCGAACATGACGGATGTGCTCTTCGGCCGTGCGGGAGTAGATGAGGATGTCATCTAGATACACAAAGACCCAGCGACCCAACATGTCTCTCAGCACATCTGTAATGAACCGCTGGAAGACGGCGGGGCAGTTGCAGAGTCCAAAAGGCATCACCAAATATTCATAGTGGCCAGTGGGCGTGATAAAAGCGGTCTTCCACTCCTCACCTTCCTTAATACGGATGAGGTTATAGGCGCTGCGCAGATCCAGTTTAGTAAACACTGCGGCTTGTGTGATGGCGTCCAGAGCGGTGCCCATGAGAGGGAGAGGGTGGCGGTCCCGGATCGTTATTTTATTTAACCCTCGATAGTCTATGCAGGGCCGGAGATCCCCCTCCTTCTTTTTAACAAAGAAAAACCCCGCGGCCCCGGGGGACGTTGAGGGACGGATGAATCCCTTCTGCAGGGCATCAGTTATGTAATTGTCCATAGCCCCGGTTTCCGCCGGAGAGAGGGAGAACAGGCGACCCCGAGGGGGGGTGGTGCCGGGCTGGAGCCTGATCTCCAGGTCGTAGGGTCGGTGAGGAGGTAACCTGGTAGTGGGTTCTTTAGCGAAGACCTGAGCGAGGTCGTGGTATTGAGGAGGGACGAGCGTCAGGTCTACGTCTTTGGGAGGAGCTGCTGCTGCCCGAGGTGCAGGGGAGTCCCGGTGGTTATGGCAACCCGTGCCCCAGGCCAGGACTTTACTGGTGGACCAGGAGATGTGAGGCTCATGGCGGCAGAACCAGGAATGACCTAGGATGAGAGGCGTAGCCGGAGCCTGGATGACCAGGAAGTGGAGGGTCTCCCGGTGTTGGTCAATAGTCATGTGGAGACCCTGAGTTCGGTGGGTGAGAGGGTACGGCATGATGGGCCGGCCGTCCACAGAGGTCACGGGAATGGGTCGGTCGAGGG